TTTCGAAACTGACTAGAAAGTTTGAAAACAAGGAGCAAACCGCTCGAAAGGAACTAGAGAATTTCAGAACCAGTAGCAATTTGAGAACCAAAGACAAACCAAGAGCAAAATCACTGGATAATATAGAAAAAAAAGCAAACTGCTCGAGAAACTAGAGACTTTGAGAAAAAAACTATCCGCTGGAAAACGATTGGGCAATTTCAGAACACAAGAGCAAGCCATTCAAAGGAGAATAGAGAATTTGATAACAAGGAGCAAACCGCTGGCGAGAGACTAGAGAATTTCGGATCAGACTAGAGAATTTGAAAACAAGGAGCAAACCGCTCGAAAGGAACTAGAGAATTTCAGAACCAGTAGCAAACCGCTCAAAAGAGACTAGAGAATTTGAGAACCAAAGACAAGCCAAGAGAAAAACACTCTGGATAATATAGAAAAAAAGAGCAAACTGCTCGAGAAACTGGAGACTTTGAGGAAAAAAACTATCCGCTGGAAAACGATTGGGCAATTTCAGAACACAAGAGCAAACCGCTCAAAGGAGAATAGAGAATTTGAGAACAAGGAGCAAACCGCTGGCGAGAGACTAGAAAATTTCGGATCAGACTAGAAAATTTGAAAACAAGGAGCAAACCGATCGAAAGGAACTAGAGAATTTCAGAACTAGGAGCGAACTGCTCCAAAGAGACCAGAGAGCCCGCGAAGGGCAGGAAACCCGCGAAGGGCTCGAAGCCTCGGAGTTCAAGGAGCCCGCGACGGGCAGGAAACCCACGAAGGGCAGGCAGCCAGCGAAGGGCAGGAAGGCGGAAACCCGGCGAAGGGCGGGGAGCCTGCCAAGGGCGGAAGCCCGAGCCCGGGACAGCGGTGACAGTGATCGAACCTTGCGAATTCGGGCGATAGTGGCACGTCATGAAGCCTTGTCAAGAAGCAAAAAATGTTGTGTGGCCTGTCAAGGTGTTTTCTGTCTTCCTCGAGGCTTCATTTGTTCTTTTTGCCGCAGGGGCCATTTGAAGCCATTGCCACTGGGGGGAGGGCATTTTTTAAGACCTCTAGATGGCAAAGGGTTCACAAGAGTTCAAACTTGTCGTTGGCTTAGGAAGGCTTCTCGCGGAATCTCAATCCGGGCTGCAGGAAGTGGCCACTGGAAGGCTTTTCTGGTCATGGATATGTGGCGGGGTAAACGAAAACCCGTGCGCTGGAGAGATTGTGTTTTAACCCTTGAGCCCCTGGACAGGGCGGAAGGCCTTCTTCGGACTTTGTCCATGCACGCTCGAGAAGCTGTTGAGCGCCGGTCCTACCCAGGGCCGAGCAAGAGCCTTTCCGACAGTACCCAAAAAATCTTTGGGGACCCAAAAACAGTCCTTGGCATCATTGTGTGCAAGTGAAACATGTCCTATTCGTAGGTGTATTGGCATTTTCGGGCCGGCACATGCAAGCAATCCATCAGTATTACAAGAAAAGGGTCATGCTTTCGGAATTATGCCTGCTGCTCGTCCTACGAGCCTCCTTTATTTATAAGCAACCTTATGGCGATGATCGTGAAACGCATTGGAGCAGAAAGCTGCTTGGCTTGTACCGGCCCGAAAATGCCAGTACACCCCACTATGGCTCATTGTGCAGAAATGTAACTTATCAGAAAGTGCAATAACTAGGCAGGTGTGGACTAAGGCAATATCTTTGAAGGCACTATATTTGAACGCACTGTACACGAAAATCGCAGTGCTAACAATCGCCCTCGAAACTGCTGCTAGATTCCCAAGACTAGCGCCCATTTTGCCCTAGACTCTGGACCCCCAAACCATGAGGATCTAAACAGGGCGCAAAACGACCCCCAGTGGGATGAGGAGCCTTTTCGAGGTGTGACAAACAGTCCCGCCCGTCATGCCAAGCAACCTTCTAGCTTTCATGGCCCCTCTTTACACAGCTTTCCTCCACAGCCACCATGAATCAGCATCTCAGCAACTAGTCTGTATACAGCAGCTACAGTGCTGCGTCGTTTTCGAGCAGTCAAGCCAGGGTTTGCAAGACAAGCTGTGTTTGCAGAGGTTGGGTTGCCAAGGCTCGTGTGTCTTGTGCTTCGGTTCGTATGCATGCTGCCTAACTGCCTCTTGGTGTCGGTGCCAGCAGCCTTCAGGAGACAGATCCAGACGAGGTCTACCCCCCAAGGGGCGAGTTTGAGGAGCAGCCCCTTGTCCAAGCACCATGTTGTGTCAGCCGTCGTGAGCGGCGGTGACGCGTACGTGGAACCCGTCCCTGCAGAAGCTGAGGCTGGAAGGCTGGGTGAAACGGAAAGATGAGCACTGCAAGACGATCGCCTCCCTGCTCCTGAACATCTTCAAGGTTCTGCTCGGCAGTGCTTTCGTCCACCTCAAGTCACATCCTGCAGGAGCAGAAGTTTCAGAAACATCCGAGCCAAGTGGAAACAACTTTGAACAGCATTCTGGATTGGTGGCAGGCTGTGCTGCAGATGCATGTCGATGCCAACAAGTGCAACTTGCTCGGTTGCTCAGCTGCTGAACAGGTGAACAGCAGTGCCTGCTACGAAGAAGAGCGCGAGGCGCGTTTCATGCATCGCTGCATCGCATGCCCTGCAGCGATTGCCTGAACAGAGCAGGGGACGGACGCTGCGGAGCGCCCGGCTCTCTGGGTTCGGGCAAACTGGAGAGAATGAGAGTTTGGTCAGCTTCTGTTCCGCGAGGCAGCAAAATGACGGTGGCGGACAGGCTCAAGATCTGCTTCGCCAGCCGCCGGCTGAAAAAACCTTGTGTGCTTTGCTCTCCAGAGGCCAGTAGGATCCGGTAGGCCTCTACCCGCCAATAGTCGGGCGCTGAGGAGCTCAAGAAAAGCGAGCGCTTACCAGCCGCGGCCTCACGCAACTTCAGAGAATGACCCAGTGTAACTTCTGATTCACTTATCGCAGGCCTGTAGGCCGTAGACTTCCTTTGAGGCTGTTCGCATGTTTGCGACATTAAGAGGCATGGAGACGATGCAGCAATGCGCTCCATACGAATGTGTCGGGACCTTGGTCCAGGAGTCGTCACGTCGCCACAGGTCCGAAAGCATCTTCATCTTCGGCTCAGGTCCTGGTCCTCTCCTTGTTCAGCCGCCTGGCACTGGAGCCCAAGTTCAAAAAGCCTCGACCTTTGAAGGGACAGGGGTTTGGGGTCCGATGCTCTGAAACCGCCCGAGCTTCCCAGGATGCTCTACGACAACGCGCTGTCGCCGCTTCTTGGATGTGTCTGTACCGGCTTTTGGGCGGAAGCGCGTGAGGCAGAAGGGGGATGCCACGGTGTGTGAGCCTTGTTCCGTCATGCTATGTCCAGTGGAGGCCGCTGCCACGCTAGCCAATCTACTTTGGGCACCTGATGTGGACTACGAGCGCTTGGCCGCTGGGCAGCAAGCACTTCGCTGCCAGCATACTCCTCCATCTTCGTTTCCTGATCCTACTCCGCCTGAGAATAAACGTTAAAGCTCGCAGACTAGTACGCCGTATCTGACACACGGGGTTCCAGTCAGACATGTCCCTCAAGTGCTGCTGTTGAGCCATCCTCCAGAAGGCTCTTGTCTGAGGAGTTCTAAGATGTGTGAGGTTTGCTGGCTGAAGTTCGATGGATCCAGGCCACTGCTGAGAACCTCAGCATGTTCCTGAAGATCCTGCCAGTGCAGCTGTTTGTACGCTGCTCCAACACGGTAGCCAACCTTTGCCGAACATACTGACTGGATTTGCAGAGTACGTATATGAGAGTGAACATAAAGCTCGTCTTGGTGCAGGTGCATCACGGTGGATGCTGCAAACGTCCTCCTGCCAATCAAAGCGGGGGAGCCAAAGCCCGTTGAAATTGGTCAGGGCATGTCTTTGCCTCAGCGAGATCTTGCTGGGCAGTGTCCCAATACCTGTCAAGGCTTGTCTATTTTCCATCAGCCTGCAGGTACAGCTCGATGTGGGGGGTTGAGTTTGGCACAGGCTCTTGCATCTTGGCGGAAAATGGCAAAGTCAAGAGGTGTGGAGATGCAAGCCGTGGTTTGTCAGCAAGTGGCGGGCCGATGCTGTTGTTGCCGGCAGCCACGAAGCAGTTGTACTTTAAAGCTGCGCGTCGCACAAGTAAGGCTTGACGTTGCATCCGGACGGCTTGAAGACCTACAATGTGCCTGGTCTCCTCACTGCAGTCCTGGCCTTGCGGCACTGCTTCGGAAGTCGAGCCAACCCAGTGCCATTGTACCGTGCAAGGCCTCTCCGATGGACACCTTCAAGCAAACGTCACAGAGCCAAAGCCTCGTGACAGTCTCCTTCGAGGGTTACTCTACACGGTGAAGAGGGGTGTGACGACAAGGTCCATATCATTGGCTGGACGAGCCGCCGGACCCGAGACACTTCACAATTACGTGCTGGCATGGGGCTCTGCATCTCAGGATGCGATCCACAGTTCACATGTCCACATTACCCATCAGCTCTTTGTTTCGAAGTCAGGTTCCTGTGGCCCCTCAACCAGTCCGATTCTTCAGAAACAGTCGCTTGGCTGCTTCAAGAGTACGGATTTGGCAGCCCAGCTGCTTGACCCAATATATTGCAAGGCCAGAAGCCAGTGCGTCCTCCTGCAAAGCTCTCCGTCCGTCCCCTATATTGCCTCGCATATGCCTAGCCTAAATCTGGACTTGTCAAGACCAAATCAGACTGGCTTGTAGTGGTCACTGAGGCCAGAAAGGCTCACACAGCTGTATGTGGACTTCGAGGCGGATCCAGACGGTGAGGGTGTTTGGACCCTGGTCGACCACACCAGGCGCACGACGGCAGTTGCCGAATCTGAGCCTTCCTTGCATCCACCTGCATCCCTGAGGACTAAGCGCCCGATCAAGACGCCCCAGCTCCATCCCGGCTGGCACCTGTCTCTCGTTTGCATGCTTCCATGAATAGAGGCTTGCGCACATGAAAAGAGTAGCGGTCGCAATGAGGCTGGCGCTCGTGTCTTCCACGAGCCGCAGCCCTTCACAGCCCTTCGAGGGAACGAAGCTCTTCCTCGACGACTGGTGCAAACAAATGAAGAACGTTGCTGGGCAAGACGGGCTCACATGCGGTGTAAGCAAGTTCAAGGCAAGATGTCAATGTGTCGTTTGCAGCCGTCGGTCACGCAGAATAGCATGTCCTACTGGTACTGTCTAAGTGACAACATACTGACATCCTGTTGTCTACTCCAAGGTGTGGGTGGGCAGCTCAGCATGTTGAAGCGTCTTTTAGCGCCGGAGGGCACTGCACGCACCCTCAGATTCTGAATGACTTCTACATGGTCGGCAACGACTCGGCGGCTGGAGGCTCTCTAAAGTTTGAAGTAACAGCCCAGGGCGAACCGGTGAGCTTTCGAAGGGCGCAAGCCTTTTGGTATGATGGCCGACTTCCGGATCTACGCTCGCAGCCTTCCAGATGACCAGGCCCCGAATCTGTTCTTGCTCCATCTTGGCCTTCGTGTACGCTCCTCACGTCAGGTGAAGGGCATGGTCGTTGCTACCAACACCGAGGATCACCCCGATCGGATTGTGCGATGCTGACAATGGAAGCGGAGGACAGCTTTCGAGTCAGGGGGGTCGTGAAATCTTGCCAAAGGCCCGACGCCTGGCGAGTATGGATGCTGCGACAGTCCTGGCGCAGCGGTTGGACGTCCCTGACACTGCAGCAGAATGCCGGGAACTGAAAGCTTGCATCCAAATCCTTCGTCAGGGCATCGTCTCTCGTGCAAGCCGATCATGCACTTTCTGGCGGCAGGCTTGCGGGCATTGGGCAGTCTGGCTACGCTGTCTTCCCAGAGGGCCTGCTTCTCAAGTTCTTGTCAAAGAGCTGCTGGCACATGGTTCAACTTAGCTTCATGGAGGCCAAGATCTTCAATGTTTGTGGTCGCAAACTCATGCAGCTGATGGACTCGCCACTCCCGATGGTGCAACGTCAGGCGTCGGACTCGGCAGCATGGGTCGGGTCTGCGACGGGCTGCAAGGTGTCCCTCACAGTGTCCATGTCAGGCGAAGCGCCTCATTAACAATCTGGCTTGAAGAGATAGTTGCGTGCTCCAAAGTGAGTACCATTGTGCAGACCCCAGATCGGTTCGATTCCGATGTTAGCGACACAATACTAGCCTGCACGGACGGCAAAGTCCTTTTTCGACGGATGCACCATGACGCTCTCCAGCAGAGACAGACTCTGAACGGGACATGGTGCAGCCGTTGGCCATGCAGGTGTGGTATTCCCCAAACTCATCCATGCCGATAGCATCTGCGCGGCAGGAATGAGTCAACAGCATGCTGGTTGCAGAAGAGCTGCATCCACAAAAAATTGCGAGCAGACCGCTGCCAATCAGCAACGCCTGAGTGTAGCAGTGATGGTACCCCCGACTCAGTTAGCACAGCTGGCGCCCTCCCCGCTCGACAACCGCCGTTGCGTGAAATCATGAAGGGCTCAGATGTGCACACTGCGCACCCTGCCAGCTGTGTCATTAAAGACAAGATGTGCCACTCGTACAAAGGTCTACTTCAAAGACTTTCCAACTGGAGTAGCACGTAAACCCAGCTTCTCCAGAACAATGACAATTGCTAATGCTCGATGCCCGAGAGCCTGCCGGCAGAGATGAGTTGCTCCCCCAGTTGTTGCGGAGCTTTCAGTTGTCCTTACGGTGGCTTGACCTTCGGAGATTGTCGGGACCAAGTGAGGTGCTTTCATCTGGCATGAAAAGGAGTCCCGGCGTACAGCCCATCAACGCCGCAAGCAGGAGCCTGGATCTAAGCAGGACCTCGAGACCTTGTGCTCCGTCTGCCGTAGAGACCACAAAGGCGGGAAGTCAAGGCGCAGCAGACGCAGGCTTTTCTCTCCAGCTGCAGCCTCGGTAACCTGGCAAAGCGGAGCTGAAAGTCGGTCGAGCTGAGATGTGACGAGCGGCGTGGAGCCACCCCCTTTCGGCCGGCTTGAGCTCGTGTGTGTCGTAGGAAGTAGGAAGCCTTTCGTCGGAGAGCGTGCCTGGCAGATCTCGTGCTCGACCAGAGCGAACGACGCCTCCGTGTCCCGTCCAGCTGCCGGGGCCCTGGCCGCCCTGGGCGCCCTGGGCCTTCCAAGACTTGGCAAAGTTGCGTAGCCAAGGCATGGGCATGGTTATCGGCAAGAAGGGTGCGGTCTGCAACGCTTCTCTGGGGACGATCGCAAACAGCCTCGTAGTTTTTCCGGACAGGTGAGCACCTGAAGTCAATCGAAAAAGACTTCAAAGTCGGGTACTTGGCACAAATGAGCACGGGACTCTCTGGACTTCAACAAGTCGAGGTAACCGTCAAGATCGAGAAGGATGATGCTAGCCTGGAGACTCACTCGACAATCAATGTCAATATTGGTTGTGAAGCATCTTCGTCTGCCCCACACAGACAGAGACTCGTGCTTGCGCCCGAGGCTCTGACAGCATCCTCCTCGTCTCGGGCTCCTCAGCAGCGGAGGTGGCTGCGGCCGTGAAGCCTGTTTCCTATGCTTATCCTCCATCTCGAACGGACGATCATGGAAGCCCTTTCAACTCAGGGCGCTGGACTTCGACAGCAAAACCCTGGAGGCTTCCGACTGGCAATGCCGTGCTCGCTCTTCCCAGCGAAGGCATCTCTGTCAAAAGGTGCCCAAAGAAATCGCAGGATGGGTCTGCGGCAAGCCAGGGCTTCAGACTGGCTTCTGCTTTCCTCGTCCTGTTCTCCACTTGTGCTTTGAGGGCTGGCCGGCATTTGAAGCTCATCCGGGAGATGACCGGTGTAGCGGTGCTTGCAGCTCAGCGGCGGGAGCTGCCTCGGCGTCCTGCCGAGGCTTTCTGCTCCATCTGAGGTTGAGCATGAAGGACTCTGCCGCCTCGGAGGATCAGGGAGAAGCCCACGGCCGATGGCCTACGCCAGCACCAGTTCCAAACGGAGCAGTTCAGATTCTCCGCGCCAAGGTGATGGGGCGAACCCGTCACGATGCTCCCTGGAGATCAAAGGCAGCACTTATCCGGTTCCTCCAGCACCGAGCCCTCAGGGTCTTAGAAGGTCTCCGGGAAAACGTGGAGGACGCAGCCATGTGCATGGAGGCCTCCGCTCTTTCCGTCCGTAGCATGCAGAAATACAAGGAATACAGCGGCATCGCAGTCACGGGAACATGCGCTGGTAGGCTCACATGAGCTACCACTCTGTCTTTCAGGAGATGGAGCAGGCATCATTCGCTGCAGAGTCAATTATGCGTTTTAGCAGCGACAGTTCAGCTGGCACATTTGATTCAGGCATGAGCTCTGCAAGCACTGGACAGAACAGAAAGGGTTCGGTTCCTGTGAATTGAACACTGATTTTCAGTAGAAGCTCGTATGCTGCAGAAAGAAGACATGCTTCCGTAGAAGGTCGTGGATGTGATGTCTTAAAACCTTGACTAGATTTTTTTGTTGCGAACCATGTTCTTCATGATAGTAGTTATGCGTACGTGTATGTATATATATATATATATACACACTTGTATATATACATTCTATATCTGTATAGCTACAAACTTACCTCTGTGTCTCAGTATATAGATTCTGAATGTCGTCTTCGTGGTTTCTGACAAAGGCCCAATGCATGCAGCGAGCATGCGAATCTTCAACTTTTCTTTCGCAGCAGCCCACGCAAGGTTTCGAACACTCACTTGCTTCTGCGTCACGAGGGACAGCGCAGTGAACAACGATCTTCGCGCCAAACTACTTGCGAATTGTGAGCAGCCCGTTTCTAGCCCTGAAAGTCCCTGACCTAGGAATGTATCGCCCTGCCACTGTTTCCAACATGTCAACATTACTGGAAGTGCCTCCTGCACAGGGCTCTGAGGTTTGGGGCTCCTCCACAGTTTAAGATTCTCAGAGCTCCTGTCGCGTCGTGTGAGTTCCGGGCAAGTCCTGTCAATCCTGCACTAGCCAGCATGTCCTGGCTCACACGCCTTGATAGCGAACTGTGGCGTCCACACTGCGTTTCGGGATCTGTCACGTGTACATTGTGTATCTTTGTATCGTTAGGTTTTGTTGTGCTAGTTTCTGAACGGCTTCTCGGGGTGGAGGGGGGGCTCCGAAAAGGATGCTATTCGGATTGCCAGAAATTCTGGTGTCTGGTGTGCAAATGCCTGCGCTGTCTGCATGAGAGTGTTTGTTTCTGGAGTACGAGTCCTTTCCTGTGCTGCTACCAAAAGGTGGAAAAGGAACTTGACCAACGGATAGCCGATGCACGGGGGTCTGGAGCTTGGTTATTCCGCTTCGAACGCTGTGCTCTTCTTGGGCATCTGAGCTGGTTAGTTGCCCTTTAAGCCAATGGTGTTCCAAGTGATACAGTTTGGTATTGTCTTCGATGCAGGCGCCTTTCCAGAAGGGCGGTGTCCTCGCAAACTGGGCCGAGCTCTCAAGTGCGCAAAAAGTCTTTGTCGTCGCAGTCATTTTCGAGCTATCGAGCAGCAAAAGGCATGTCTTGCTTTGTGCAACTGCCGGTCTCGTCTTCCAGGACTGGAGCGTCGCAAGCGCGGTCAGACTCTAGAGGCTCGGCAGAGTGGAAAGGTGTGCAAGGTGCTTCCGCAAGCTTCAGTGTCCGGGTGCACAGGTGCGAAGGGACGGTCAAAGTCCCCAGGCAAGCGGCAGCGGCGAGCCCAGGCGGAAGGCAGCAGCGAATAGACTGAGCCCTTTTCTTCTGTCGGCTCCCAGGCCCAAAGGAGGTGCCGGGCCTTCGCCTGCAGCTCGACACTCGGAGACTCGCTTGGGGGAAAGGCTGTTCTTTTTTTGGCGGTTACGGGCTCCGGCCCGTCGGAGCTTCCATGAGGCCACGCAGGTGAGCCGGTTTCTCGGTGTACCAGAGAGGACCCATCGACTCATGTTCACGTCGGGAAGAGACCAACGCTCTGAGGAACGGGGCGCATCTGGGCTGGAGCCGCCGAAGGCCGCGACGCTGCGAAATGAAGGTTAGAGGATCTGAGTGCGGCTGTCATACACAACCATCCTTTCAGTGACACGTCGAGAATTCGTTTGTGACACCGCGAGATTTGCGGGACTATTCTCGCTTGCATCGACTAGGTTCGGCCGCCAATCCAGCCAGGAGCCAAGCAGATGTCCGCAGGCTGTGCTCTTTTCCTTTCCAGTGAGTTTGGGATGAGGTCGGCGCAGCCAAAGGACGAGGTCGCCTCCTCCAAACATTCGGAAGGGCCGCCAGAAACCTTTTCTGGTATATCCGGGCTGCAGGACGAGGGCGTGGTTACTTCAGCAGTGCCATCGGAGCAAAGCAGTGAACAAAACAGGGCACGTGCTGCAGGCATCAGATGATTGTTGCCTCGAAGAAAAGGCAGCTGTCACCGTCCTCTCACCCTCTGCAGCTGTTCCAGCCACAGACCAACACATGAAGGGAAAGATGCGCAGCTACCATCCACAAGTCTCGACACCGAGCTCCAAGCAAGAGTTTGTAGCTTGATCTTGGCCCTCTCATCAGGTGGCCATGGAAACAGGGGCTGCGCATGTCCAGCTGGAGTGTCGACTATGTTTAGCCACAGAGAGAGATGGGGCAGAGGGCTTGGAAGCCCAGCTATGCTACCCTTGTAATTGCCGAGCACCCGTCCACCACGGATGTTTAATGCAGTGGCGAAGGGCCCAAGAGGATCAGTTTTCGGAGCGGCACAGTTTCGACGAAGTTCAAGCCCGCGTAAACACTTGCGAGGTTTGCGGAGCCAGGCTACTGCTGGAAGAGACCCGGCCACAACTGCAGCTTTGTTCGGCGGTCTGCCGAGCTCAGGGGGGCACGCAGAAAGTTGCGCTTCGCCGAGTGCCCACGCTATCTCGGGCAACACGAAACTTCTCCGAGTTCTCTGCCTCAGATGGGCAGCAGCTTGAGGTGCTGGAGCAGGACGCTACCGGGGAGTTTTTTCGTGTACGTGCCCTTGGGGCGAAGCGCTATCGAGGTGAAGGTGTCGCGTCAGTGGCGGAGGGCTGGATTCGACACGTGTACTTGGATTGGCAGTCCGGAGTCTCGCTGCCCCCGCCGCGGATGCCACCCGCATTTCTGGCCGAAGGTACGGATCGCTTAGACGGTACTGCAACTGCTCAGGACAGTGTTTCGCAACAGGACGAGACATGAGCATAGCGAGAAAAGCGCGAGGTGAGTCCTTTCTTGACGGTGTTGGGGCTGCGAGCCACGCACACCGCAAATTGAATCCTTGGAATGTTGCAGCTGGCTCAAAACTGACACTCAGCTAGGTTGTTGCAATCTCATGGGTTCTTCAAATTTGACACCTGGCTGGAGCAATGCACACTCGCTGAGCACTGATGTAAGTCCCAATCAAGAAGTTGCACTCAATCAGTGGAACTGGAAAGCATCCACGATGGCCCAGACAGTCATCGCGACCCAACAGGACGCGCAGGGCCAAGCGTCACCACTCACACAAGATTGAGCACACCCTCGGCTCTTGTACGTTCGGCAAGGCAGCTGTCTCAGAAGAGGATTGCTGCAAGCAGGCCTGCCTGTGCTGTGAATGTTTAAACAACAACCCAGCGGTGTCTGGTGGTCAGGATCGCCAGCCGAGCGTTTATGAGCTCTTGGATGAAGCTTGGGTGCAGTTGGAGCGGTATTTTCTGTGTGGAGGCAAGCTGTTGTGAAGCCAAGGAACTGATCAGTTTTGATCGATCCACACTGACCAAGGTGCACATGCATACCTCCTGTCCTCCCTAAGATCGTAGTCATAGGGTCACCAAGAAGGAATACGTCGCAGGGCTGCACGCGGGCCCGCAAGCACTTGAAAGCGAATCTATGCAGATTCTCGCCGTGTGTGCCTCCACGCTTCTGCTCGTCAGCAGCATCTTGATCTACCAGGAGGCCCAAGCAAGAGATCATGTGCTACAGTAGGTTGGAAGCTGGGGAGGAAGGTCAGAAACAAAGAGTTCTTTGTCGGGCCTCAGGTCGCTGCTGGTCGGACGGACCTCGCGATGATCTATGGAGGTTGCAATCTCGCCCGACAAAGTGCTCAGAAGCATGTGCGGTTCTGGAGAGATGGCATGGCAGCTTGCTTCCTCTGGTGGTTCCTCCAGTTTTTGTGTTTGCGATCGCATGACCGAAAGGCTTCTTCCTCTTGGTGATTGGATTGGTTGCGTCTGTCCGGCACCCGTGTCAAGCTGCCGTGGAATCAAAGATGTGCAGAGAGCTCTTTCGAAGACTCCCATATACTCCCATATTGTGTTAAGATGTTCTAAGGTGGCCTTTGTTCTGCACGAGACCTCGCAGTTGGAGGTGGCAGGTTGACACGGGCTGGATTGCTTTTCTGACCAATCATCTGCCAGGCTGTGCAGAAAGCTGAGAAAAAAGGCGAATAAGGTCTCAGCAGTGCGTCTGAAAGATGCGACGCGGGACTGAATTCTAGCTCAATTGTAGCGCATTGTAGCGTAGGACACCAGGAGGCGAGCAGTCTCCGCTGAGACACTCTTTGGAGCGACGTGTTCGACGAACTGCTCGCTGTGCTGGGCTGACCCGACCTGACCTGTGTGGAGGTGAGGTTGCTGCGACTTTACCTGCCCCACTCCAGTAGAAGCACTTGCTGGCTCAAGGATGCTCAAGGTCTGTCGACAGATCATGTGAAACGACAGAGTTTGTCGGTAAACCTAGTCGACCTCCGATCAGCATGCACATGCCTTAGCCGGGGACGGTCTTGAAAACGAGTTGCTGCATTCCAGGAGATCGGAATAGGGCTTCGAAGCATGCGCGCCATAACTGGCCAATCCCGGTCGGTAAGCCAGATTGGAGAGGCTAACTCGGGCTCCCGGCACGTGGTCATTGACTTATCCAATGACCAAGTCGGGGCGGCGAGACGCGGTACATCTCCTGTGCCCTCGCCGCTGCCTCCGCCTCCCTTCGTGGCATCCTCGCCAATGCGAGGTTGGTGTGGTGCCTGTGGTGCTGCCACACCCATGACTCCGTGCCCACCGCTGTCTGCTCGGGATATATCTCGAAGCACTGCCGCTGTTCGCGTTCACACGCCAAACGGGATCGCTTCAGCTGTGCGCGTGAGACAGGTGCTCTGCTTTGGACGGGTTGCCCTCGCTGAGAACACAACCCCCCAAGACAGAGTGAGGGAAGGAGAGGGCATTGAGTAGGCCAGTAGGCCCGACATGAGAACAGCTTCCACAATGCTTTCAGGCCTTGAGGTACTCGTATACACCATGCCACCATGTTGCACCTTTGGCAGGCACACTCCCCGACACCGCTGATGTTTGCAAGACATGCCGTCTCCGCCGTCGTTGGGCAAACCGTTGGATATCCAGCAGCAGGTGCCGCAGCTGCGGCGACTCCTCCCGTTCGGCGAGGCCTTTTCGAGTATGCCTTGGCCTCGCCCAGGCGCCTGGCACCCCAGGAAGCCTACGGAGCCACACGACCGGTGGCGGTATTTAGCCCGAGACACGTCACCGCCGTCAACGGCGCCTGTCGCTTTCAACAAGTTCCTACGGTGACTCCGCCAAAGCATGCGCCATCTACGCCGCTGGCGGACGGTACTGGAGCTTCTGGGGCAAGGCATGCCCCCGTAGCGTGTAGATGTAGATTCCTCTTTAAATTGAGCACCTCAGCCTCAGCGGTTGTACAGGACCCCGGCGCCACCAGCGCCAGCGCCGACACCAGCTACGCCACCGGAGCCACCAGCCCCTCTTCCTGCACAAGGTCAAGAAGAGGAGCCGAACCAGCTAGTTCCTGGGTCCTTGTCTCAGTCCTGCAGAGAGATCTAGGCTGGTGTCCCGTCAGCCGTATCATGCCCTCTCTGAGGACGCAACTGCAGGTGGGGTGCCTGCATCTTCGATGTCAGGAGTTATTAGGTGCCTGCGTCTGCAGTTTTCCATGCTTGTGTGTAGTTGAATGCCCATGCCCTCTGCTTGACGATCTCTCCACAGCCAAGGAAGCGGTTCCTACAGCACCGTGTGGTTGGCACAGGCTAGGCGAGACTACGACTGTTTGACTTTTGTAAGACTTAAGAGTTCAGGCACCAGAGATTAAGTCGACAAGGATCGACAAGGTACCGCCAGTGATTTGCGCTCTGGGATTCGCGCAGGTAGAGAAAGCTCAGGAGGGCAGCGACATGCCTCGCAGCGTCGCCCTGAAGGCTGTAGACGCAAACGCAAACGATGCGACAAGCGATGCTTTGCGCTGGTCAGGACGTTTTCTGCAGGGGTGAAGCTGCTCTGCAGCAATCCCTCTTTGAAGTTCAACTGTTAATGGCCGTGGAGCCGGGGTCCAAGAGGATGCGACCTGCCACTAGTGATTGAGACTCTCCTCGTCCCCTCGTCAAGGCGCCGGGCAGCGCGCGCCGCCCAACGCGGCCTCCCGCCACAGGTGCCGCGGCTGCCGCGCTGCCTTACTTACCAGGCGCTGACAGTTTGAGTCGAGGGAGCTTAAATCCTCCCTGGTGCTTCGTGCGCCTTCTGATAGGTAGATGCTTCGGGCTCTGGCTGGAGTGTCCGAATGGCGCTTACACGCCTGCGGGGCGAGCAGCTTGACGGCTGGCTGCAAAGATCGGCCGAAGTCAGTGGCGAAAGCTCCCAAAGGTTTCCGGCTCAGAGTCAATCCGTAGCAGCTCGATGTGGGGCAGCTTGTACATGGCACGTCCGGAGTTCGGGGATTAAGTGTGAGAAGGGCTGGGGGTCGCAGAGGCCCTGGACAGATGCGCTGCGCGGTGGATGCATTCTGGCAAGGTCGCGAAGTTGAAGATGCGACCCCCCCCGGATTCCTTTGACTGCGGCGTTGGGTCGTGCAAGGCGCTTGCTGCAGCAGCTGGGCCCAACGCTTCAGAACCTGGTCCAGTGCCTGGCGGAAGAGTCATGCGGCACGTGTGTGACATGACTGACATGAGCCAGAAGTCAAGACTTAGCGAGCCTCCTGCGTTTGTTCAGTGGGTCGCGTCTTGAAGACCTTCGTGCTCAAGTTGACACACGGCAGCGAGAGGGCGCGCGGAAAAGGGATGCGGCATGGAGGGGAGAATCAACAAGTGGCTCTTGATCCTGAACCTGTTTTACCGAATGTTGGCCTGAGAAGTCCTCGCTTGCCATGGCTGGCATGGATAAGTCCTACTTCCTCGACGGCAAGCCTTCCAGTGGTGCGGAGGTGAACCAGGATCTCCACGTGGTTGCGGTGAAATGTAGATGCCCGCAGGCCGACATCCAGCTTGCTCGGCCAGATTCTCCCTGTGCAGGCCGGTCATGCTGGAACGGAGCTCCTGCAGATGCTGCCCAGCACCACATGCGTGCGGGTATTTGTGGCGGGAGCTGTGACACACGTGGGCAACTTGGCAGTGCAGGACTGTAGGTGAAGGTGAATCTCATTGTTTACGAACTCGCTTGTAGGCAGTGTTGGTCTGGAAGTATGATGAAAAGGTCGGCGGAAGTTGGTGCAAAGTGGTCGCATGTCTGCTTAATGCTCTTGTCCTCGTGCCGTTCTGGCGGCGGTGCGAGAATTAGAGTTTGCCGGCTTGACCTGCGGGGATCATGTCTGGACTCTTTCGGCGGAGTAATCCGCAAAACGTCCAGATGCCCTCATCCGAGCAGTCCCTGCATAGATCTCAGGCAAGACCTCGGTGTGCCTGGGCCTTCTGGCTGCACTTCGGAAGGCTGGGCTGACAGTCGCTCGGATGCGACATGTCCCGGGTCGATACACCCAAGGCTTCGAGGCCTTGAGTACCCCCTGTACTCGCATTTCAGTATGAGGCGCTAAGTGTCTGAAAGGATCTGAAAGGCAAAAGGCCCCGGCACCTACGTCTCAGCAGAAAAACAGTGCATGCCAGCCTTTTTCTCCCATGTGTTGTGCCGGTGGAAGTATTGGTTTCTCAGACAAAAGTCACTGGAGGCATGGAAGTAAGAGGCTCTAGTAAATCTAGTCAAAGGTCAAGAAGGGCCGGTAGCTGGACAGATTCCAATTTTATCTGCTCTTCTTGGCTCTGGTTTGTTCTGGCTGTGTCCTCGAACGTCAGCTCCCAAGCTGCATCCAAGGCTCAGGAGTTGGCTTACATCAAGCCGGCGACGCAGTGCGAAGCACCGGATTTGCTAAGCAAATGGTGTGCCAAAGAAGGCCATGGAATCTTCGACCCTGTCTGCCTTCTATCGGGTAGTACGGTAGCATGCAGCGGGAAGCACGCCCTGAAATTGTATCGGAAGATTCAGCTGAAGCCACGTGTGGGTGTGTGCACGCCTTGTTGCAAAAGCATTTGAAAGCACGGCAAAGACGCCACAAAATTGCGATTCTGTCACCCTCGACAGGCATCGAGTATGTCGCTGGAGAAGAAGCGCCCCTGGTGTTTTACTCGGGGTTTACGCGCTCTTTCCTAGCCGGCGAGCAGGGCACCAGCGCCCAGTGGCTGCAGAAGAGCTTCAGCTGACCTGAGCAGTTGTGTGAAGTACATTGCAGTTCAGAGTACTCTGCGATCTGACGACCAATCTGCGTCTGAGGATTGAGGAGAGGATACAGAAGCTGTCTGATGGCAAGCGAGTCGTCAGCACCTAAGGTCTTACTCTAAGAAAGGGCAGTGCTGTGCATGGCAAAGCCAGGGACTGCACTCTCGGCAAACGCCCCTCCAGCCAGGTCATTGTCGACGGAGTTGGCTTTCCCGCTGTTGGGTCCATTGTGGGCGTTGACAATGCGGATGTGGCTCGTGCGTCCAGAGCACCGGTTCTGCTCGTCTGTGCCATGGCGTCAGCAAAGAATCGGCAATCTGTTTAGTCTTGTCGTGCTTGTGGCTTCTATAGCATGGCCAACAGCAGAGGCAAGTCTGGCGTCGGTGACGGCCTTATGTTTGACTTGCATTCGAGTGTCTCTCTTCCACGGGGCATGGACAGAACTGTATCATTAGTTAAAGTCGGGGTGAGTTGCTCTTGTCGGACATCCGTGATGTAAAGTTGGTGAATACTGACATCGACTTGAAAGCGGAGGCTCTGCCGTGGACAGCTTTAGCTTGAACTCTTCGTATTTCTTGGCGAAGAGTGTGCCAGTGCTCGGCGCTGTTTTCAATCTTGGCGATACTTGACTCCGAGTGGCCGTCGTCATCGCGAGAGATCTGCCTGCTGACTTGGGAGCTGACTAGTTCCGATTCCCGAGGAGATCGAGGGCTTCTATTCCTGGGACAAGTGCAGAGAAAGCATAGAGGCGTGGTTTGCACTGCTTCTTGCCGGCACGCAACGGCTCTCCTTGGCTCGGGCCTGCTTCGCTATGCGCTTCTCTGAGGCAGGGCGGGCGTCGAGAGCGCTTCTACGGCGTCGTGCCCAAGCTACCCGAGTTGGACGGTTTGCGCAGCTTGCCTGGAAAGTAATTCACGGTCTCCTGACCGTGAGGATGTAGAGCCAAGGTGAGCGAATCAAGGACACGGGTGAGGATGATCTGGCTGCTGGGCAGCAAGTGTCAGCCAGTCGAGTCGGAAGAAAAACGGGTCAGCATCGTAGGCAAACAGTTGAAGTCTTTGTTGTTTCTCTGGCGCTCGCTTGTGGTGTTTCGCTTTCGGGGAGGAGAGCGGGGCATGGGGAGGTTGTCTTGTGAATACTCAATCACCACCCATCTCTTGCCGCTCACTCGCCGTTACTGGTTGCATGCTGGGGTTTATGGTTTTGCATTACTGGTTATACCGTTGCGCGTGGTGCCTCTTTCGCACTCACTCGGGCTTGCTAGCCTGGGATGCAACACTCACAAGCCAATTCTGAGCAAGTGCCAAGTGAAGGACTGCAACGTTTTATTGATAGCCTCGCCTGTCACGTCCCGTGTGCTCCACGTTCCTTTTCCCCACGGTACAGTAGGTGTATACCGTTCTACCTTAGGCCCGAGGCGTATAGTTAAAGAGCCAATCATCACAAGCTCGCGATTCCCAACCCTGAGTCTGAGTGATTGCAAGACGCAGGCCTCACCAACAGCATCCCGCGTTTCCCATCCTCTTCTCAACAGTGACGGGCAAGTGTCCAAAACTCAGAGCCCGGCGCCCGGAGCCGATGAGGCACTACTTGTCAAGTTCACATTCTCCTCAGGATGCATTGGCTGATATGAACGCTGTGCACTTCGCTCAGCACGTGGCTCCTTGACTGCATGTGCGAGTGTCCGTTGTGAGGGCCTTGCACAGACTGCCTGCATTGAAGGACATCGCAGCAATCTTTGCCGATGCAGCTGCTGATCCTTGGTGGCTCAGCTTGGCAGAGAACGGCACACGCATTCTGTCATGGGGACTTCGACCGCGCAGTAGCAATGCAGGTGTCGTGGTGTGCGAACCAATCCACAGCCGGTTCCAACGGTCAAGGGCAGCACGTTTCAACCGCATCTTGTTCGCACCAATGTGAAGCTTTGCTGCGATGATGCCCGCACATGTGTAAACCAAGGCTGTCTCGAGATGCCGTGTCTGCCACGGCGAAGAAATCGGGTGCCAAGGGAGGTGGCTGAGGAGGGTAGAGGTCTGGAGCCACGGCACCAGGCCACTTTCCTAATTCCTTTCCTGGACTGATGGAGCTGGTGAATGAGGCTTGTCGAATTCGTAATTTTCTGCTCCAGTTCTGTCCCAAGAAATTCGCATGTCCTCATGCCCTCGCACTCAGGACAGCTCCCCGCTCTTCGGTGGAGCTTGACTGATCAGCCGAATCGTAGCAGGGCCTCTCGTGACCCGTGTTCGCCCGGGAAAAGGGACGAGGGATTGGAATTTCACGGACTTCCACAAAACAGTGCAGCCTGAGAAGCGTTGCTCGTGCGCGGAGGCTCCCTTGGCATGGCACCGTGATGTCAACTCCCATAATGCCAGCGCCTCAAAAATGCAGGCGCCGCAAAGGAGGAAAGGGCACTGGCCGCCACCGGCCTGTCAGGTCTCCATCAAGTCCCTTTCCGGCTGCGGATAATGCATCATTGTGCTATGCCTGCTCTGCCCGAGGTCCTCATCTGCAATGAGACGTCGGAGGACGTTTTGTTTCTGATAGATTTCACGATTCTCCTCTGCAACTTCCAACTGCTTGAAGGACGGCACGTTAAGCTTGGATGACGGCGAGGTGCAGTGAATAACAATGGACAACAGATACCGCAGCGCAAATCCGTGTCGGAGTTAGGAGACAGCCTCCTTCTGGCTCTGTGATTTGGGGCTTGCCGTCGACTCCCAGAGCTGGATCGGAGAGGAGCCACAGCCACAACCGAGAAATTCGCGCCTCGTTTCCTCGGGCAGTCGACTGATTCTGTTGAGTCGCGGCTCCATGTTTTCGGAGGAAAATCTCTGGAGAGTCACGGACATCGGTTGGGAGCTGACTTCGTGGAGGGTGCCTGCCACTGGTACTTGCTGCCTCGAATCGCCTGGGACCATTCAGGTGGGGATTGCAGATACTGGCCAGCCTCCTGTTGGATGGTCCACTGCTCTTGGCCCAAGCATGCCCGAACATACCACAACTTGTGGGTGTGACTCTCCCATCGAGGCTTTGGGGCAGACTACTTGGAGGAAAGGTCCGAAGCCTGGTCAGACCCGATCTTGAGTTGTCTCTGGCCAAAGCTGGCGCACCAAGAGCTTGCGGGAATCGGAACACCTTTGTCGCTGAGGCCTAACTTCTGCAGACAGTACAAAAGCAGGCGAGGATAGGACTCCTTCTTCACGATCTGAGAGCCATGCATTGTCATCACCCAACCCTGATGATCTTGTATGATCCGCTATGACATGTGAACCTCTCGATCGAAGTCGTCAATTGCCTCAAAGTCGCTGACATGGAAGCCTCTTCCCTGGCAGGCTGGATATCCACGCGCTCGGCATCACAGCCATAGAAGTCCTATGCTGGAACCTTGGGAGCTTGCGAGGTCATGGCGCGTATTTTGTCTCTCTGCTTGAGGTACAAAACCCCTGGCCCTCCGCACAGCCGGTGCTCCTGCCGGCTTCTGTCCCAGAGTGCTTCAACCTTGTGTGGGGGGCGAGCCAGCAAAAGACTTCAGGCGATGTTCCCAGCTGCTGGTCGAGCCTTCTGGATGCGTGGAAGAGCCTCGATAGCAAATTGTGACCGGTTTGGAAACCACACCTTGAGTAGTTTTCCGACAGCGATTTTCCATTCGGCCTCGAAGGCAGTATCACGATACTGTAAGCGACTGGTGGCAGGCAGTTTCCGACAGTTCTGTGCAGCTGTCACGACCGTCGGAGTAGCCAGCAGTCAGTGCAGAGTCCACTGACGGTCAGGCCATCTACAGCGTGTTTAGCGCGGGTGGCGACTTCCGTCCAGTTCATGCCTCTTTGCAGCATTGAGTAGGTTTCGTCATCGCATCACAGGGTTGACAGCAGATGGACTTTGCAAGGCTTGGCTGGTGGAGATCGCTGCGTGCGGTCCCTTGAAACGTTGACCCTAAAGTGAAACCTTCGTGGCTGCATGCCGCTTAGCTGCTTAGCCTCCTTCGTCAGGCCCGACAAGGTCGTCACCCTTGTCGGCAACATGCGACAAGCTCTGTACGAGTGCGCCGCTTCTATGCAAATCTGCTGGGCAGACCCGGTGTCGGCAAGAACTTTGCCCTTTGGGCATGCACGTCCTTTAACATGAATTCGGCGGCTCAGGCAGATTGCAGCGACGAAGCCGTCGCACAGCTTCTCCGCGCAGTGGCTGCTGCAGCCGATGAGGCCATCCTTGAGCTGTGTGAAGTGGCGTCACAGAGACAGTCCAAGAGGATTCTCAGCTCGAGCTTCTGGACATTTGCAAGCTGGCCGCTGCCCGGGTCAATAACCTGTCACCCTGAGCCATCGGCGATGACTGGTGCCTCTTTGTCCAGGCCGGACAAGCTCCTGAAACTGGTCCAGGACGCTCTGGGTTGGCGCCTGACTCCTCGTCATACCTCTCCGCTGCCTCGCAGGCGCAGCCCTGTCGACGGAGGCTAGCTCTGAACTCACTTGTGCAGCACGATGTGACAGCCTAATCTGCCGTGGGAAGGCAAAGCAGGACCCTTCATCTACTGCCGCAGCGGACGTTGCGGCTGGCACGCAGGCACCACATGAACCAACGCTGTCCAAGAGCTGGTGTCCTGTCTGCAACACAGGATTCGGCTACATCTCAAGAAGAGAGTCGTGGCAAAGCGACCAGGCACTCTTGTAGCGGCTATGGGCGAGGCTCATCCATGCCACGTTCGCACGCAGGACCGATGAGCGTGAGGCTCTCAGTCGCTTTCACAGAGCTGAGGGGCTTGTGGAGAGGTTCACGCTCCTAGAAAATGAACACCATGCCAACTGTCAACCTAAACTCCAAGCGCGCCAGATACTCGACCGGTCTCCCGGCTTGTGGGCTGCTACAATCAGCTACAAGTAAAAGCATGCACGTGGATCAAAAGCTCGGAGACAACGCAACGGAAGCAGAAGTGACACAGAAGCCAAGATAAAGATGATACATCAATTTTTCAAATTTTGCTGAACGGAATTAAGAGGTTCTAGTTGGAGCTCTTTTTCAGAGTCACTGCACTTTGCTGCATGTAAGCGAGGTGTGGTCACCGGGAGCAAGAGCACGAAAGCGCTGCGGTGCAAGCTGGAGGATTGCTGGTGAGGGCTCAACGGTGAGCGATTAGTGTCCTCGAGCCCTGCTGCTGGTCAACCAGGATGGTGCAGACTGCAACATTGTTTGGGGTAGCGAGCATTCCGTTTTGCCAGGAGGAGCATGCCAGGCAGGTCGCGCAGCACACAGGGTTGTTGGATTCTGACAGGGGCAAGCCCTCTCACATCACTCGATGTGTGCAGCTGTGTGTAGCATCACTCTCATTGAGCCGATTCTTCATGTTGCAGCTTCCTGCACGGATTGTCTGACTATCTCCACCATCGAGAAGAGACCTGCTTGCGTTCAAGTTTGGAGGCTGAGCGTCGACCTGCAAAAATTGCAGTTGCACAGGCACCTTTGCTCTGAACAGTTCGAGATTTCATTCGCCTCGCCTTGGCCCATGCTCTCTTGCCTTTACACACTCGCAGGTCGCGCGTGCTTCTTGCGAAGAGCATGCTCAACCAACTGCCGTGAGCATGTCGATTTTTCTGCACGGCGAGCCTACATGCATTGAAGACTTGCACCTGATAATTCATATCCCTAGCTTAGGCTGACGCTACCAAGGCGGCAGCCTCTTATAGGAGTCCAGTCGACCGGTACATGGTTCCCCACGTGCCAATGCCGTGGGAACCATTGTTAACGAGCCGGATGCCACACCGGAACCAGTGCCTCAGAACTGAAATTCAGTCATGGCCTCCTTCCTGGAACGGCCCGGCTCGCACATATTTGTGGCACTGCATCAAGTAGCATGTCTTTCCGCCGGAAGCAAGCCAGTATTTGGTGATATCAACTAGTTGTTAACTCCCGTTTGCCCTACATGGTGTTGCTTGAGGTTTCTTGAAATGAAACTGTGTGTAGATCTTGGTTTTGGTTTGGGCTCTGCCCGGCTTGCTTGGACATCTCGTCTGCACGCCGTACCTTCCAGGAGCACTGCCGGGGCCCAGGGGCACTCCAGAAAAGATCGACGGAAAGGCCATGGAACGACATCTCTCTGCAGAGCCCTTGAAGGTTCAGCTCCCAGATTTGGTTACCAGTGCTCTGCTCATGCAACTCGGGCTTCCTTTGAAGGGCTTGTAGAGTTCAAAGAGCTCTGAGTTGTGTCTGACCCACAGGCGGGGCCGAATATGGCTGACCGCAGCGCAGCGAAATGCCCCTTCTGCGATAAAAGACTGAGAGAAGCGGTCCGACAAGGGTGTTCGTACTTCCTGGAATATATCAAGCCCTAAGCTTTGGACCCAGCGGATTTCGTCGTTAGACCATTATTGACTGTTATCTGTCTCCTCCTGTCCCTCTCTCCCGCTCTCCCTCCCTCGCTCGCTCGCTCGCTCTTTCTCTCTCTTTCTCTCTCTTTCTCTCTCTTTCTCTCTCTTTCTCTCTCTTTCTCTCTCTTTCTCTCTCTTTCTCTCTCTTTCTCTCTCTTTCTCTGTAACAAATCCGTCTTGTCGAAGCCGTTGGCACCAGACGAACATGCCACATTGACAGAGACAGCCGTAGCTCATCGTGAACCCCAGCATCACACGGATGATTCTGGAGCTGCTCTTGAAGCTGATGGACGAGGCCACATCATGTGGATAGTGTAGCAGTGTAGCATTCTTGACAAATCCAAACACCTGATTTGCTTGGCTCTGCTCTCCGAGTCCATGATCGAGTACTGCAGCGTACCTTTGCCTGCAGCAGCCAGAGACGCAGATGCCAAAGCCTTGGTGCCTGCAGAGCAGATCCAAGGCATCTTTCCAAGAGGAGCTGCACGAACTCTGGGCCAAAACCGTAGGTGCTGCCGCGAAGCAGGCCGCCCACCGTTCGTTATCGAATTTGGCGGAAGATGCACAATGTGTTGAAACATCAGGCAGCAAGACAAGAGCTACTGTTGAAGTATTTGCGCCGCAGTTGCACAGAGAAGGTGTGAGAGAGGCGACAACACTCCTGTAAACTGAGGTGCCCGCTTGTGACGAGGCGACGTTGCATGCAGCATGCTGTATATAGTGGTGTAGCTGCTGCGGCTCTACACGCTACACCCGTGGCACCAGGTATGGGTTCGACCCCACGTGGGATGGAGCAGCTTGGTGGAGTCTGGAGCACTGAAAGCAGGTGCGGCAACAGCGTACTTGACCTGTAAACAGAAGCCAAGGTGGTGCAGAGCCAGCAAAGTGCAGGTCCTTGGGTAGCGGACGAGGAGGTCATTGCAGCTCAGCAGAATGACATTACCTCAAAGATTTCTAGGCAGAGAGGCAGGGCAAAACGCTAGCCACGCCAAGGCCAAGTACAAGCTCCAGAAGTGGCTTCTCGACCCGGGGCTTCAGGAGCCTTTGGCGAAATGTACGCAAATCCTCGACATGAGAGAGCTCCAAGCATAGGTGAGAAAGTTGCCTGGGACGCACGACAAGCAGCTGCACATGGCGATCCGAGAGCTGTGCCAGGACTCGCACATGCTCCGACACACATCCTGCGAGAAGAGCCGTGACTAAAGTGACTAAAGGGTTCATCTGCAGTTTTAACGGTCTCTATTTCCAGGAGATCGAAAGAAAGAGTGGCAGACCCTCCTTGGCTGCTCCGTTATGTAGCGCTCGGCATGCGACGCCGGCGTTCCAGCTGAAGGAGGTGCCAGAGAGAGAGACAGAGAGCTGCGCCCTCGACCCTCAAACCTGCTGAAAGAAAGAGCCGCACCCCAACAGGGGCCTCGCTCCTCGTGCCTGTTGAAAGAAGCGTAGCCCGCAAAGCTTGTGGCATTTCGAGATGTAAATAATTAACTAAATGGCTCCTGCTTGTGCGGTATCACAAGCTGCCAAGCAAACCACAGTGCCAAGGTGTCAGTGCCCTGGGCACGGGTCTTTGCACCCTTGGTATGCGCAGTGATCCCGGGCGTTCTCTCCAGCGAGGAGGTCCAGGCGCTGAAGTCTTGGGGTATGCTGCTCGGCTGATTTTGCACGTCTTTGTTGTGTGAGAATAAGATGCTTGCAGCTTTCTGAGGTCACGGAGGGATTGGTGTTTGGCAAATGGGCATATGATCAGCCAGTTCGAGGATGGAGTTCTTGCCTACAAACTTTGGAGTCGAGTGTGCCATCTTGTCCCAGCTTTCAAGGGCCTCGGCGCAGTAGGCCTGAATCAGCACATGCGTTTCCTGAAGTACGGGAAGGGCCACTTCTTTGCACCGCACCAAGATGGTGAGAATCGACACGGCCCCGCGCGATCTCTGCTTTCGGCGCTGCTGTACCTTTCTGGGGTGGATCGAAGCGAAAACGGTGGTGGAACTCGATTTATTTCTCCCGAGTGCCCGGAAGTTGCGACCTTTGGCCGATGTGACCGCGCCTGTGATCGCTGTGTGGATGCTCCTGTAACTGCCGGATCTATGCTGCTCTTCGCACAAAGCGTGATCCATGCCGGCACTGAGCCCAAAGCCTCCGAGAAGTTTGTGACTTTGCAGTGATTTAGGCAGTCATCGGACCAAAGCATCATGCATGTCAGGCAAGAGCCGAGCTTGATCGTAAGGTGATCCGGACCGATGTCATGTACCCCCTGGCACAGACTTGAGCCATGTGTTCACCATGTTCACCATCATCTACGATGAAGGCTATGCACAGCTGCACCGCAGAATCAGACGACAGCTTCCCCCGCCGACAATGTCACGGTGGCCTTCTGAACATTAGGTTTTCAGGAGCCGAAGATCTTTGCGAGAGCCTCCTGCGCCGTTGAGCGCACACTGCGTGCAGAGGCATGAGGCCACGGCACCAGGCACCTGGAGAGCAGAGTGAGGGTGCAGCGTGTAGCGCTGCAGCGCGTGGAGAGTGTTGGGGCAAGACGGTTGAACGTCTCCTTCTGCAATGTGCCGCACCAACCAAGAACTGCCGTGGTCACCGGTTTCACGACAGTGATGCCGGCGTCCGGCGTGCCGGGTCAACTTCTGATTCCTCTCGCATGCTCACTGCAGGTCTCAGCCTCAGGCTCTTCATCTGGCCGGCGGGAGCTGCTTTCTCGATGGATGTAGTGGCATTGTTCAGATTTGAAGAGTTGCTCTGCGGAAAAAGCATGCACCGGAGGAGTATCATCTGAGGTCGCGGAGGTCAGAGAGTGCTTAGCATGCTGCGAAGCCTTGGACATTGCGTGAAGACCGTGTGAACCATGCGCTCAGATCACTTCTGGCCAATGAGCCTGACGTGAACAGGGGAAGTCCTAGGCTTCTCGTTCTCAAACCCCCGAACCTGGTCGAGATTCCGCCAAAGCGATGCTGGCGGAGCAGTACCGCGATTTCATGGAAGCCACAACTGGGGTAACTGGGCAGTACTGTTTGTCCAGTTTGTTCCGCTTCGCTGCTGCCGTAACCGGGCGGGGTGGGCCGGTGTCTCGCCTCAGAATTGCCCCCATTCCAATTCTGGCACCGGGATTGGGGTCGTGCACAAGGTGGCTGAGCATCCAGAATTGCAAGTTCCGTCGCAACAAAGCCAGCGACTGCGCAACGAAGCACCACAACTGACAAAATGCTGCGCGCTCACATACGCTCACAGCTCGATTCGCACCCACGACAAAATCTGCCCACTTGCCCGTGGTCTGCCTCAGCTTCCGCATGGTTTCAAGAACCAGCTCAACCATGCAGCTTCCCGTCTTTCAAAAATCAAAACGAGCATTCTGAAATCAAGCTTCACCACGGCAAATCGGCCTGAAAGGAGCCCAAAACATCTAGTGGCTTCTGGAAGGGTAGGGCCGATCCTCCTATGTTCACTCAGCTCATGCGGCTGCTATTCAGATTCAAAGCTCTGGCTTCCTGGGACGTTCGCTGAGATGGCTAGTATGGCCATAGCTTCGCTACTCTTCTCGTTTTTCAATTTTCTGCGTTTGTCTCGTCGTGCTCCGATGCTCCGAGCAGGGTCATTGTGTTGTAATGGACACCTTGCTCACGTTGACGAACACCGATCGAACACACTGTTTTTTGCCAAGGCACCGCTGCCAGTCACCGCGGTCACCGCGACTCCGCGCTGTGAGCTGCGGCGCTCGACGGCTGCGACGGCTGCGAAAGTGAAAGAGATGTCCACTACGAGCGCGATGCACGCGATGCATGCAACCGGCCCTCAGTCCTCCCCTTGGGCCGCACATCACTGAGGGCAAGCTGACAGATAGCTCGCGAGGCCGGACCGACGGGCAGCCATGCTGGAGGCACTGGCAGGGCTGAACGACCAGCCTAGTCAGGCTCCGCCCGAATATGAGCTGCCTGCGATGGACCCATCGGCAGCGCTGCAAATGTGCAGTGCGGCTGTTCTTACCTCTATGGCATATGCCAAAGCTGCGGCCCCGGGAAGGCTTCGTCGATGGAGAGCGTTGCAGTGCTTGCAGCAAAGGTCGCTTCTGCACGGACGCGTCGAAGCTCCCAACTCTTGCAGGATGCAGTTCGCCTGAGCAGCGGATCCAACTTTCTCCTCCAACGCGCGCTTGCAGCCTCGAGCACCTCAGCTGCGGCAGCTGAAGGCGTTCCTTCTGCTTGAGCCTTTGCCTCTGCTGTTCCAGGTGCACCAAACCTTGAAGAAGCTCACAGCATCAGCTTCAGGACTCCGTATCACGTCGAGTATTCATGTTGCTTGCGGCGTCAGAGCCGTTCGTATTGCATGCTAAGCCACCGATGAATGTCGTCTAAGCTGAATAGTCCCTGCAAGGAGCGCCGTGCAAGCGGGCAGGCAATACTTTGACACAACACTGCCGCCCGTGCCCTGCAGCGGCCCTAAGCCAGTGCATCGCGAATCGCACTTCTGCATGCAAAGACTTGTAACAAGTGCGGAATTCTGCCGAAGTCAAGGCTGGTGAAAGCTTGCACGAACACGTAATAACCGCCATCTATGCTTAAACTACAAGCTGATGGCATCGTCACGATGCAGACGCAACGCTGCTCAATGATTCAATCGAAGCGTGGTGCCTCCGCCACGCCAGTGGCGGTCCAGAACGCATGCTTGTCCGCAAAAGGATCGTGCCGTGGACTATCTTGACCGAGCCAGCTGGGATCGTGCCAATGCACTGCTACCTTCCCGCTCGTTTTGGCTCCAGTGCAGCATGGAGCTACAGGGAGTCATTGGCATGAAACATCGTAGCACTGTGACGCGTCCTGCACGTTGTTCTTGAGCAAGAATTTCGAGCAACAAGGGCAGCGCGCTACACCGTGCATGCAGCTGTCGTGGTGTGAGCAAGTTCAAGCTGAGGATACTGTAGATACCCTAGAAAGCACTGGCACTGTTGGATGCGAGCACTTACTCAAGACTGCGTACAGCTTGCAGTTAGTTCTGCATGGAGTCATGTTTGATGGGTTCACCGAAGACCGCACTGATAGCCCACAATGCGCGCGTGCCGCGCTTCAGCGTAAACTGGTCCAGGCAGAGAGTGGAGCCGCGGGAAAGTAAAGACGTCCCAGGACAGCGACAACCTCGAGCTCGAGAAGGAGTTGGAGAAGGAGTTGCAGGAGCCGAAGCAGTAGAGCCATGCGCTCATGCACGCCGCAACGTAATCGAGTGGGAGCTTGCAAGGACTTGGAGGCCGAAGTTCAGGTGCTGCAGCATCGGCTAGACAAGCTGAAGCCTCTCGATACGAGGCTCGTCTTGCGTGTCTCAGCATGTCACTTCTTCCGTTTTGTGTTGCAGGCCTTCCATCGAAGCGCTACCCCTGGAGCAGCTCTGCTTGCATCTGCCAGCGAAGGAGTTTGCCACATTGTCTTCCACAGGTGTGGTCTTTAAAAGCTGCGGCGCAATTCCAACACGCTTCCCCCGATGTTGACAGGTCAAGAGCTCCAGCGTGTGCTGCAGCAGTCTCGTGGCTGCAGGGTGAGGAAGTGTCAAAAGCTGAAGATCCGCTGAATCCTGCAGGCTGCTCCCTCAGCTCTTGAAGGGGTTGGCCACGCTACAAGCGAAGGCACACTGTTTTGTCAGTCACTAGTGAAAAGAGAGCCACTCCTGGAGAGACGCAAGGCTGGCCGTCTGGTTCCGCTGGGTCTGACACCTCTGGCGCTTTGGCAGGTGGGGAACGGTTAGATCGTTAGTCCTCCGCACCAACATCCCGACACCGCCCGGCAGTCGCTACGAGAGCCGGTGATTTCTGTGGACACTGCCTGCCCTGCATTGGGACGGGGGCTGCTGGCAACAGAGCTGCAGAAGATTTGCGCTCGTTCAGCACCTGATCTGGTGTGAACTGTAGGGATGTCCCCCTCACATCAACTCTGTTTTACTGCAATGTGTAGAGTGTGAGCAGCTCAAATAGCGTCCAACTAGCTGTTGCTGTCTGGTCGGAGGACCTGCAAAGCTTAAGATCAATAGTTTCGGGTGTCAGTGCGCCACAGATACATAGGATGTAGGTTTCCCGCCGTGAGGTCCTGAACTTGTACCCTCTCCGCCTTCGAAGTGTGAATGTGCTGCGGTCGCGAAGCATGCACGGCAACATCCTGCAGCCGCATGAACTGGCCTGGAAGATGGGCAGCCAGCTGACTCCTCGGGTGCTCCGAGGGAAGCTCTCCTGCAGCATCGCACCCATCAGAGGACTTCCTTCTGCCCTGCTTCTTCGGAAGACCTCGCCACTCCATGTTTCGTTTTGCCAGACGGAAAGATACGACAAGATGCCAGGAGCAGCAGAGTCTGAGATGTCCATCCTTCTCTTGGATTCTGCAGTGCCCAAGCAGCCGTTGATCACGCTGAGCTGGGAATTACGTCCCGTCAGCCGCGGCTGCTACTACAACATTCGGGCATCCGTCCGCGAGGTGCATGCGTCTGTTGTCCACTTCCGTCTCGTTTTTTAAACCATCCTTCAGTCGCAAGGTTGTGTCCACACGGTCGTCATGGGCATACCGTCAACACACTTGGAGCCTGGGAGATGGTACGCTGCGCGCCCGGCCATCGGAGAACGATCTTCGTGAGTATGTTTTAACCTACCACTTGGAGAGTCTCATCTGCAAAACACTGCTGAGCACTGCTGAGATGCAGTGGCCGCTCAAGGACTAGATTAAGAAACGTATTGTAGGGGCACAGATTTGCTTCTGTCAGGTATCTCACGCCGCTTCAGGGATAGAAGTGTTCGGACGTTGAAAACTTGCAGAAAAGAGACGTGCTTGCTGCGCGCTGAGGATTGACTGGGCAATGGCGCGCTGTTGGATTCTGGTACAAGACCGTTTTCAGGCCCGATGTCTCCATTACATGCTTGCTTCATCTCTGCCTCGTCCTTCGACAGAAGCTGAGATGCAGGAACACTATGCAAAATTGTCCTAGTTGCATGAGCTGCGCAGGAGTTATGCCTGGAATCGAGCTGTGGTGGAGCATCGCCGACGGCTGACGAGTTGCGCCGCGTGGCGAGCATCTAGAAACAGCGCAGCAGTTGGTGCAGAAGTGAACTTCTTCGTAGCTGTAGCTTCGTTTTTTGTTCATGCGATTTGGGTTCTGCAAGGCCTGCAGCTGTCGCCTGGAACAACTGCCAGCCTGTCAGAGTTACTTCTGGGCTAAATGGTGTGGTCAGCACCTCAAAGCTGCACTGTACTGCAAAGACCTGCTACACAGCCTTTTGAAGCCGAAGCCTGCGCTGCTGTCGTGAAACCTCAGGTGCTTTAGAGACGGGACGTTTGTGAGCCGTGTGGGCGGTCACTATACTGGTAGCGTTTGCTGCCGAAGGCAGGCAAACTCCTTTGCGCTGGGCCCTGCTATGTACATAGATGTGTAATCATGTGCGTACGAGCCGGCCACACTTGTACTAACACATGGCCGGCAACGGGTCGTGGCTAGCTTGTGAGGCCTCTTTTGGCTTGCTTTTGAAGTGAATTACGTTGCATGTGGCAGAGTCCAGACGACGGGGCCCTCTGAAAACTAGCAGCTTAGTAAAGTCTAGCACGCTTGCTACACGCAGCACCAGCCAGCGCTTGAGCAAGCGAAAAAGAAAAACTTGGACGAAGCACGCAGGGACATCCTGCAGTGTTGCATTGAATGTGCTGCACAAGTGGTGCGCAGTCTTGATGTCTTCAGCTGCAGAGGTGTCCTAGTAACTTGTTCAACATGAAGCAGCGACAGGAGCTAGAAGACTCAATTGAGCTTGTATGCAAGTCCGCCAGCATTCGAGTACATTCTGGGAGCCAGACGGCTGTTGGAGACAGTGCACGAAGGATGATGCGAGTCACAGATTTAAGGATTGTGAGCTCCTGGCTCAAAATGCACCTGCGCATGTGCTGAGAAGCAATGGAGCTGATCGTGAAGGAAGCTCGCAAAGTCTGGATTCCCAACCACCCTACGCACGGATACAGGCTGTGCCGCGTTTAGGGCACCACGCAGTGCCACCGGTGCCGCTCGCAGGCCTGGGCAGGTGGATGACAACGCGGATGCAGGGGAGAATCTGCTGGTTGTTGATGCGGAGGGCAAGAAGTTCCAGGCAGGCATTCTTTCGCCGGGGCCCATTTGCTGCAGATTCTTGGCCAAGACCGTTTCAATAGGTTCCCAAGGCGGAGGCCCTGGCAGTGGACCCAGCCTGCTTGACGGGTGTGGACGATCTGTTGACGTTGGGCGACTTTAACGAACCCGCCTTGAGCCCAGACCCAGACTTTAGCAGCAACGATACGGACCTGAAAAAGAAGCCTCACACAGCCGGCCAAGGCTCTCCTCCACAACATCCGCGTGCGATATGAGGAGGACCCTGAATGGACATGTGACATGTCTCCACAGAGCAGGGCTGTGTTCGGTTCGCATCGGTCAACAAGCATTTCGACAACATGTCCGGTCTTATGGCAGAACGATTGATTAATCTCCGTGCAAACTTTTCCAAATATTCCATCTGCACCGTATCTGGTGAGGACAAGATTTACACGGGCATCGGGACACCCATCCTGATCTCTGTGAACCCCTATCAGAACATTCCGGGCCTTTACAGCGTGGAACGTATGCGCGAGTACAAGCGCTATGCTGCCAAAGCTCCCAGCCAGGTGCCTGACGAGAGTTGTTCTCAGGTACATTATCAACCTCACTTGTCTGTATGACTTATTGTCATCATTGTTGTCATTAGAGCTATCGTTGTCACTGTTGTTATTGCTACTATTGTTATTTATTGTCACAGCAGTCGTCGTCGTCGTCGTAGTGGTAGTGTTAGTGGTAGCGGTAGTGGTAGTGGTAGCGGTGGTATTGGTAGTGGTCGTAAAGTGGTGGTGGTGGTGGTAGTAGTAGTAGCAGCAGTAGTAGTAGCAGCAGTAGTAGTAGCAGCAGTAGTAGCAGCAGTAGGAGCAGCAGTAGCAGTAGTAGTTGCAGCAGTCGCCGTCGTGGTAGTCGTGGTAGTCGTAGTCGCAGCCTTAGTCGTAGTAGTATTCTCATTGTTTTTTCATTGGGACCAGCCAGTTCTTCTAGCATGACAGATTCCCTGCGGGAGGTAGCAGGAGGTGGACTGCCTGTTCACCTCTACTCCGTTGCTGATGCAGCATATCGTGTATCTCAGCTGAATCGCTGCAATTCGCAGAGGGTTCTGAGGCTTCCAGGCAGCTCAAAGATTTGGGCTTGCGAGTGAAAATCCAAGGCAATGCTCCAGGAAAAGGCCAGCCAATCCATTATCATCTCAGGCCAGTGGCAAGATCATTTTGACAATACGCGGCTGCTTCTCGGGCTTCTGCCGGCCGGATCGATTTACGAGCATATTACGTGCACAGCGAAGCATGGGACCTGTTAGACCTGAAGTGATGGTACAGCACATCGGCAACCAGCGCCAAAGCCACCGCCGCAAGCACAAGTATGTCATGGGGGGATTTAAGTGCTGAGGCATCCTCAGCTCGTGCCCGACTGGGCCGGTTGCTCAACCAGACTCCAATGTAGCCACTGTTTGGGACTTGGAACGAGAAGCTGGCTGCAATCACACAGGTTGAGAACCGCTAAACCGCACTGAGTTCAACATTACACAACATCATTGCCTGCTTGCAGCACGCGCACTTACCCACGAAAAGGGTGGAATGAGTTGACCGGTTTTTTTTTGCTTGGCAGGTGAAAGTGGAGCAGGCAAGACAGAGGCGACGAAGCGCATGCTCGCATATTTGGCCGAGCTGCAGTCTTCAAGGCCGCATGACACAGGACTTGAATCTGTAGCCCAGTTACAAGTCTCTCTGATCCGACGAGCAGGATTTTGCAGTGAGCCTCTGATGCGCCCAGCAATGCAGGAGAAAGAACCCGTTCAGTCGAGTCACAAGTCCTCGATGCCAATCCGGTCTTGGAAGCGTTTGGCAATGCCAAGACGGTTGCGGCACTCAGAAATGTGGAGGTTTGGAACACGATTGCAGGTTCAGTGTGCTAGCATGCTTTAGATCTCAGGTGAGGAACGACAACTCCTCCAGATTTGGCAAGTTCGTAGAGGTGGAGTTCGACTCAGGCGGCAAACTGCTGAGCGCGCAGAATCTTGACCAATGTGAGGATTTGATTCCGGCGAGTATTCTTGCAGCGCGAAGCCGCTCTGAGGATTTCTAACTACTTGTTGGAGAAGTGCCGCATCGTAACGCAACAGCCCGAGGACCGGGATGACCGGGGATTGACATAGCAGCGCAGGTTGAACTGCCAGGTGTCACAGTTTTTTTTCGGAAGTATCGGCCCTCAAACAAATAGTCTGCAACATATTTATGGTGCTGGCAGCCGCTTGACACAAAGTGCACCGTGCCTCGTTTGTTTACGTGTGTTGCCAGAGAAATAGCACCGCTGAGTGATGACTGCACCTGTTCTTGCCGTCGTGAGGAACGCAATTATCACATATTCTACCAGCTGTGCGCCGCTGCTTCTCGGAAGGCCACTGTCTTTACTCATTGAATGCCGTACGCTTCGAGCCGTGTTTCGGCGTAAGGTAGCTTCTCATAGCTACTCGTAAGCTAGCTCTTGGATTTCTTTGAGATGGTGTAGACTCCCCGGGAGAGTGACCTCTCGACCGCCGAAACCAGCTCTCGGCCTTGTCGGCAGGGTGAAGATCTCCCGGAAGGGCTACAGCTCCATGCAGCCGACGACTTTGAGTACAGCAAGGTTTGCTTGTCTATTCCGGGCGTGGATGATGCCGCAGAGTTCGCCAGTGTCCTGGAGTGCATGGTCAGCCTCGGCTTCTCCAAAGAGGAGCGCGACACCATCTTCAAAATTATTGCCGCTGTGCTCCATCTTGGGGAAGCCCAGTTTACGCATTGCGTCCGAGAAGGGCAGGATGGGATCTCTGTGGCAGATGATGCTTGCCTGCATGGGGCTTGAAGCCAAGCTACTCAGCTAATCCATGCCGCATCAGCTAAACCTCAGCTGCATTTTCTTTGAAGATGCGGCACATAGCTTCCGAGGGTGTGTTGTAACCTTGCAGTTATTGTGGTTGGCCGCGCAAAAACTTGCAGGACAGATCTGTTTCTTTGGCATGTGAGTTGCTGGGCCTCCCTATAGAGCAGATGCAAGATGTCTTGGAGCACAAGACCTTGGAGGACTGCCACCTGTTGGGATGTTTTCGTGCTATCTTGAGGGTTGCCCAGAGCTCAGAGTCTCTTGTCAAAACATCATGTGATTGCCTTCAGTTAGGACCCACTGACAAGGAAGATCATCAAAATGCCGCACCTTGCCAAAGAAGTGCGAGCACGACTTTACTTCAGCTCGAGCAACCCCGGTTGCTGAGGCAAGATGCGGCGTCAGCATCGTTTACTCGGCACTCAATGGCAAAGGTGATCTACGCTCGCTTGTTCGACTGGCTTGTCTGGCGCATCAACGAGAGCATTTGCAACAAAGGATCGCAGAAAGACATCCGTAAGATTGGCTTGCTGGACATTTATGGGTTTGAAGTGTTTGACTGGCGTCCCATCTGCATACAGCAAGAGGTTATCTTTCAAGATGTTCCTGGAGTGTTGTTCCGCTTTCGTGACGATTTGCGACTGCGCTGTCAGGAATTCGTTCGAACAGCTTTGCATCAACTTTGCTAACGAGAAGCTCCAGCAGCATTTCAACATGCACATGTTTACCCTTGAGCAGCGGTTGTACACCTCCGAAGGAATCACATGGGATCATATACAGTACCAGAACAACCAGCACATTATTGACACCCTGGAGCGCAAACCACTCGGGCTCTTCTGCCTTATAGATTCAGAGTGTTTAATGCGCTCAGCCACCGATGCCACGCTTCTTTCCAAGATCCAGAACTCTTACAAGAACTCCAATGTCATCTCAAAGGCATCAAGGTTTGCGACAACGGAGTTCAAGATTTCTCATTATGCGGGGGACGTAACCTACAGTGTGGACACATTCCTTGAGAAGAACACGGACAAGCTTCATGCCGATGTGGTGACCTTGTTCAAAGAGTCGAAGCTGGAAATGGTGAAGAAACTCTTCACCGACCCTCGCTTCTCACCTGAAACCAAGCCAGCTGCAAGTGCTGCGCGGCCACTGCGTCGTCAAAGTACACGCACTGGTACCGACGACCAGCGCCGAGAGCGGCAGAATGTGACTGTCAGCATGATGTTTCGGGAGCAGCTCGATCGGCTTGTCGAGGATCTCAACAAGACGAACCCTCGCTATGTCAGGTGCATCAAGCCGAATGCTCTTAAGCAGCCAAACGAACTGGACTCCCTGGATGTACTGAGGCAGCTGAGATGCGCGGGCATGCTGGAGTCGATTCGCATTCGCAGAGCAGGCTATGCGGTGCGCAGGCCGTTTAAGGAGTTTTTCTCTAGATTCCGGATCCTGGCACCGCACTTGGTAGCCACAGGGGCTGACCCTGACTACAGAAGCCTGTGTCAGCGTCTTGTGGCAGAGGTCGAAGAGCGACTAGGCAAACAAGGTGTTGCTTTAGAGGAGAAGTCGTGGCAGATGGGCCAGACGCGTGTCTTCATGAAGGAAGACCTTGAGAGACGCATGGAGCAGATGATCGTGGAGTCTGCCAAACGACAGGTGCAAACAATTCAACGATGCTGGCGAGGTTTTGCCGACAGACGGAGGTTCCGCGTATGGCGAAGTGCAGCACTCCAGTTCCAGGCGGCTGCTCGCACAGTCATCAAGGTCCGCAGCTTCCAGAGGATTCGAACAGCAGCACTGGACGTCCAAGCCTCCATGAAGGCAGTGCTGGCCAAGGCACGTCTTCAGAGGCAGAAGGAAGCCTCCATCGAGATCCAGTCAGCTCTACGAACAGTTTGGGCACTGGCGCAGCTGGAGCAGCTGAAGCGCCAGGCCGCGGCCGAGGCGGCCGCCGCCGAGGCAGCAGCGGCGGCCGAAGCTGCAGCCGCCGAGGCGGCGGCGATGCAAGCGTCTGCAGCCCAGTCGGCTGCTGCTCAGGCGGCCGCTGCCCAGGCGGCTGAGGCCGCAGCCCAGGCCCAGGCAGCCGCGGCGGCAAAGCCAGCGGCCGCGGAGCCGGAGTTCTTTGCAGACCCGGCCAATGTGCGAGTGTTGTCCGCAGATGGGGAGCGTTCCCCGATGTCCAAGCAGGGAGCGCTCCCTGAGGGACAGCGGAACGAGACGAAAGATGAAACTCCGCCTTCGAACACTTTCGCAGGGGATCTGGAGTTGAGCATGCGAAAGCTGGAAGCATCGCCAAAGACGGGCCTCCCGCCTGAATGGATGCCCTTCGCGTGACATAGCGCAAGCAACAGCTTGTATTTATGCTTCTTGTCCACCCATGTTCTCAGCTGATTTCACATCGCACCCAAAGCCGAGAGCTCGAAACTTAGGCCTCGGCACTGTGAATTTGGATGCCAGCATCCGAAATGCGGCGCTCAACCTCGGCGGAGGAGGCGCTCTGGACTCGCCTGGGCCCAAGACCTCGGGCACTTCAGGGCACTTCAGTTTTCGTTTGTTTAAAGTTGCAGGGCCGCGGTCTAGCACGGCCCTGTCATCAGGTTGCGGTCGGAACTCATGGCAAGACTCGAGGGAGGTGCACGGGAAGGAGGCACTCTCGAGAAAGAAAGTAGCAGCTGCTTCAAGCACCCTCACCGTGCCCGAAGGTATTGATCCTTCGCACCCACTCAGCAGCTCGCTGCGACATGCAGAGGGCATGCCTTTGAAGGGCCAACTGGTGACGAATGGCAAGTCCTCGCTACAAGGTCTTCCGGATGAGGAGGACTTTCAACTAGATTTGCTTGACTTGTGAGACGTGGCGTGCATTCGGCAGGATTTCCCGCTGAGGAAAACCATCATGAACCAGCGGAAAATCATGGAACAGCTGCAGCAGCAGTTCAAGGAAGCACTCGTGGTGAAGCCGGGAGAAGAGGAAATCAAGCCTCTCGAGGATGGGGAGGCGACCTTCCTCCGACTTCTAAGAAGGACCCCGTGTCCGAGTCCCCCCTCTTGGATGCAGGCCAGCCAGCAGATGCAGCAGCTGCAGGACCTGAGCCTCAGAAAGCAAGGGGTTTCTTGACTTTCGACACCCGAACTGCTGGGAAGGAGGAAATCCGGAAGCTCCGCAGCACCATCGGAACGCTCAAGGCGAGCCTTAGCAGTTGCCAGCAACAAGAAGCAGCGCGGGCGTCGGAAGCAAGCGAGTACCTGGAGAAGGCCCCAGCCTAGTATGTTTTTTGTGTTTTTTTTTCTCGCGCACGGTTTCCTCCTTGCCAGGTTTTTCCGCATTCGCCTCGCCTTGGCAGGTTGGTTTGCTCTCCGCCCAGTTGGAGGACATTCACCGCACGCACAGGGAGGAGCTGAGCAACGAGCGGAAGCGGACCCAGGCCTGGTAACCTGCGATCGGGAGCTCTGCCTGACTCCTTATCTTCCCCTCTTCCTTAGCGAGGAGCTCCGAGGAGAGGTCGAAAGGCTAAGCAGAAGTTTGCAAGACACGCAAGGCTCCGCCCCACTGCTCCGACTCCAGAGTGTCACTGCGCGCTGACAGTTCTCGGAGGAGAGGCTGCCCTCTGGCGGTCAGAAGCACAGCAGGCCACAGTCAGCTTCACCGCTGAGAAGGAGCTGCCAGAACTGCCAACAGGGTTGAGAAGCCACTGACATCCTTTAAAGTTGCCGATCCCTGAAGCATGGATTTTGGGTCCGAAGCTCGGGAAGTCCAGCGCAAGAATCGAATGGTTCGTTCAGCTTCAAAGATGAGCTCAAACCCAGAGTCGAAGACTATTGCAGGAGCGACTGGAAGAGCTGGAGCGGAGCCGCAAGGACTTCGTCTTGCAGGACTCCGGCCAGTCTGGCAAAGACGTGTGCTCCTCCCGGCGGCTGTCGGCTCTGAAGGAAACCCAGGCTAACTGGAGAGAGGAGAAAGACAGGCCGTGAAACTGAAGTGGCCTTCCCGTCTACGGCAGCTCGGAGAGAAGATGCAGTCTGCCAGGTTACTCAGAGATCTACAGGCCAAAGACCGGGAGCTGCATGGTCTGAAGCAGGCCTGGCAGTGCATCGTAGGCCTCTCTGCAATGCTCACTCCACGAGGCCCTTGACAACATTGGCTCGAGCCGTGCGCCTCTTGAAGAGCTCCAGAGGTGGGGGGCACGATAGATGTTACAGAGTCGCAGAATCCACTAGCTCTGAGGTGGAAGGCAGAGGCTCAGAGACTACAAAAGCAGGTGGACCAGGCCCATGACATGATGGGCCGATCGGGTTGCCGTACAAACCAGCAAGCACCAGTGCCGTTCGGTTGCCACAGGCGAAGCGGACTTCGAGAGAGTACGAGTCCGTTCGGGACTCGGTCAGAGCGCTGTGCTGGGAGCGTACAGTGTGCTCCAAAGGCTTGTTTGAAGTGTCTCTTTCCATATTCTCAAGTTGCAGTTAACATGACATTAATGTGTCATGGAAGACGTGTTTTCAACTTGTCTGGCAACGTTATCGTCAGTTCTGCTCTTAGGACTGATTCTCTATCTATGCTACCGATTCCTGCAGAGGGTTCGATTTTGATGTTGTGCTCCATCACGCCGTGAAATCTCGGTTGAACCCGCCCTATGCCTTGTTTGCTGCCTCAAACTTCTTTTTCTGGTTTGCTTCATTGCTTGCTAAGCGACGTGCTTGCCAAGTTTTCAGCACAGACGTTGTCGAATTGAAATATCCCTGTCAAGCCTGCGCGTTCGTAAGGCTGTTGGACATCTGCAAAATGCTGCGGCGCTCTTGGCACATATGGCCCCGTATCGGACTCGCTGGCTGATGTGCTCGCAATCGTGAGGCCTCCAGTCAAGGTGGCGAAAGACAGGCCCTGGAAATACGCCGTCTTCTCAGAGCTGTGTTGCAATCCGTCGACCCTGGCATACTGCAAAGCGAATCGCGAAGCAGAGCGTTCCCGGCGCTTGCTACCACACGTGTGCGTGACGGCATTGGAATGCAGCTGCTCTGAGGCGTCAAGACCCTACAGTCTCAGACTCAGTGTCTTCGGCAGCCAAGCCGCTTATGCACATTGAAGGACAATGCAAATATCGCAAACGAGGCAGAACTCGGAAAAGCAGGCTCAAGAGCTCAAGAAGATGGAGCTTGAGAAGAAGGATCTGAAGGAAATCCGCCTCGACCCTGCTCTTGGCACCACTCCCGGCTGGTCTTGGCAGGATCAGATGGAAAGTATCCGGACCGCATCTGAGTACTTTCAGAGCCAGTACAAGGCCGCAAATGCGCAAATCGTCGAGAGAGGAGTTGCTTTGTGATCTGTCGAGAGGCCACGTACGCCGAGTTGCAAAAGCAGAAGGCCAAAGCCGCCGAAGTCACAGAAGGTCCGGGGCCAAGTAATGGCTCGGCGGCTCATGGTAGACCACAGATCCCAGGCTTGCAAGGACGCCTGCGTGAACTGCAAGCTGAAGTGGGATCTTTGCAAGGCTCCCTGGCCTTAATTTTCGTCGGGTGAGTGTTGAGTTGCAACGGTCGCTGGAACAGGCCGATCCGCAACTCGGTAGCACGAGGGGTTGAGTGTTGACTTCTGCCCGATGAGCGACGAGCTGTTGACGAACTCTATCTCCAGGCTGGCGGCAAAAGCGTCATTTCTGTGGAGGCCAGGATCAGTACCGAGTAAAGACGTTTACACAGAGATACCACCGCACTTGGTTCGACCCGCTTCAGGCAAGTCCAAGCTTACGCCAAGCGCGGCAGGTGTCGTCTTTGTAGCTTCTTGTGCATGAGTTCTGCAATAACACCTGACTATTAGAGTGCATCCTGTCACGTTGCCGGTACAGCATGCAGCTGGAGGGTCGGGGAATAAGATCTGTCAGCTGCACCAAGTGTCTTACGAATGCGAGCGTGCTAGGAGAGGACGCAGCCCGAAATGGGCAGAGCTTCCTTGCCCGATACTCAGATTTGCCATCGACATGCAAATGATCTCACAGACTGGGGCGTGCCGGGATGGTCTGATGTTTGAGGCATCTAACTGCGGATGTCGCATGCTGTCTCTTGCGCCTAATGAGGCTTTCCGAGCTCAACCTGAGTGGTCAATTCAGGTCGTAGCGCAGACGCACCGCGCATTGTCCACACCTTGGCGCTTTGACACATGCATCTTATAAACAAGTACGACCAAGACATATTCTCATAAGTATTTCCCGTCACAAAAGACAACTTCAAAGCAGGTCAATGTTCGTGCCTTTTGCAGCTGTCCAGCTGCCAATGTTAATGCCAGAGAGTGGGCTTTGATGCCACTCTGGAGTCTCACCCCGACTACCGGAATCGATTCAGCCTGTACATAGACCTAGACCCAACCAAGAGATCGGAAGCTCCGGTCGGCTTGGATAGAAAGCAATCGTCAGAGTGCCTGAGCCTTCTGACTCCTGCTCCTGACCGTGCTTCTGGTATTGACAATGCGCCTCACTGCAGCTTAGCGTGTTTTTTCCCATGGCCCGACGACACGTCCTACACATGTTCAGCCATCCTGGACCCACCCAGCACGGCAGAAGAGCGAGCGTCCACACTCCAGCGTAAGGCGGCTAGCTGTGTCATTTGGCCTTCATGCCCAGCAGCAGTTAGTTGATAACCCCACAGTCAAAAGGGGAAGGGCCGAGCGCCGAGTGAGCGAAACTTGAGGAAATCCCAGCACTTCGGTGTGTCTCAGCTGATCTACTCCGATCCGCTCTTGGGATGCATCAGAAATCGAATCTAAGGGCTTGCGGCATGGCTGAGATTAAGCGCAGCTTCAACGATGAGAAGCTCGTCCCGCACAGAAGACAAGTTATGTGCAGCGCTGCACTCGGTGTGGAGTGCACGAAGGATGGGCTTCCTCAAGCGGGAGGACACTACTTGCTACTCAATCAGGCCAGGCTTTGTGACTGGTATGACGCTCGGCCACACCGAAATGTAGAAAGTGACGCGCGCCTCGCTGCTGGAGCCCATACTGTATTGGTGAGACAGCAAGCGTTTGTACGTGTACGGAATAGCGAGCTTCGCCCCGAGAAGCCCTGCTTGATCCTGCGGTGCCAAATGAGGAATGTGCCTGGCAAGTTCTATGTCAACGACCAGCTGCTTGGTTCAAGATACTTGTCGTTGCGAGGGCCAAGTGTGTGGTTTGTGCAGCACCGGAGCATAACGGAGCTGTTTGGCTAAGGGTTGCCATGGATTGTGGTTCCTAAGCGATATAGAGTGTTGGACGGAATATTGAGTATGTGAGCAAATGCCAAGGCTATGTAGGGTCACAGTTTGCCTTGCACTCATGAAGGCTTGAGCGCTTAATGATCGATGAGCTGCGCAGCTTCAGCAGGCAAGCGATGAGCATGTTATTCCAGAGGTCTCTGCTACTGTAGTTGGCAGAGCGGTGCCGGCTGCTAGATTGCACAACGTTGCAGGCAGTCCCACAATGCGGGAGGATTTCTGCCAGCTGTGAAGCAGATTGGGAACGTGGCGGCTTTGCCAGTGCCTCGTGCGACTGCTGGCAGTGACCTGCGGCCTCCAATCACGATGCAAAGCGAGGCCTGGCATTGTCAAGTATTCCATTGGCCTCCCTGCAACTTGGCTCAAGCAAGTGAGGCTGTCTCTCAGACAGTCCTGCAGAATTTTCAGGACATTCACAGTGGATACGGCTTTGCGATCGGAAACGTCGCTGCGTTTGACATGGGTCTGGACCTTCTATGGCGGAGTGAAGTGGGTACACCAGGCCAAGTGCCCTTGCGTGCGGCGCTTGCCGGGGAGTCCAGGTCTTCCAGAAGCTGTTGTTTCTCCTGGCGGTGTTGGGTTCGATATCAACTGTCCGGTCCTAAGCTCCAACACAGTCACAGTCGGAGTCCAGAAGGCGGCGCAGCTCGAACCATTTCCAGGCGGTGTGAGGCTCGTGCGCACGAACCTCCTCTATTCGGATGTGCAGCCGGTGAAGGCAAGTGATGTGTGCACCGATCTAAATCCGAGCCCTGCAGTCTAGTCATCCTTTGAATGGGGATGCCAGGAGACTCTGGCTCAGTCGCTCTTCGATCACATTCCTGTCGGCCAGATCCTCAGCATGCTGACGGTGTCATCACAATAAACGGGCTGTGACTCTGCAGGTGTCGGTTCGATGGGTATCATTCCTACGAAAGAGCAAGATCTGGAGGAGGCCCATTCGTGCGAGTAGAGCAGGTAGGTTTGGCAAGTGGCTCGAATCTCTACGTCGTTTCAGAGGCACTACAGCTTGGCATTGATTTCTCTCTTCGAGAAGGCATGGTTTCACAAAGTTGCAAGTCTTGTAGAGCACCGAGGGCTGTCTGTGCCCAAGCAGAACGCAGGCTACGCTTGGCCCGAGGACAAGGAACATTGCGAGGAGCCGCTGCCCAAGTCTGGTCGGAGCAAGGAGCAAGGGAGGCTTCTGCCACTGGGAGCTACGAACCCTTTGTGCGGAAGGTATGGCCGCATGTTGAACGCCGATCCTGGGAAGGTTTCCAGCCGAGCAAAGAAGCCCGCGGCTGAGCGCTGATTTCAGTCGTCACTTTCTCGCAGGAGTTTCGAAAGCCTGCGAGGCGTGGGCTGCCTCAGCTAGGCACACTCGGCGCAGGGAACCACTACGCCGAGATCCAGGTGGCCCCACATGGGCTCATTGGCCAGGCTTCCGCTTGAATCATCTCGTGCTAGGTGGTTGATGAAATCTACGACGAGTTCGTCGCCAAGAAGATGGGCATTGACCAAAAGGGACAGGTATGTGTTCGGAGCTCACTTGAGCCTGTTCCGTGCTCGTGGAGTTGATGAGGGCTTCAGCACCTAGGTCATGATCCATTCTGGCAGCCGTGGACTGGGACATCAGGCATTTTGCTTTCCGCTTAGTCTTGGAGCCATCTACGGAAGAAAACAGGTTGCCACCGATGCCTTGGTGGACATGGAGCGGGCGATGCGCGAACCTTAGCATGCCATTTGCCATGTCTTAGCATCCCATCGTGCTTTAGAAGAGGACGCGGGACAACATCCGCACCAATGACCGTCAGTTGGCATGTGCCCGAATACAGTCTGCGCAAAGCTCAGGGGAGTTCCACACACATGCCGCATCCTCGAAAGACTCAACGGTTAGTGCTGCATCAAGGACGAGGGCCAGAACTATTTGAAGGCACGTTGAACTAAGTGCCGTGTTCACAGGTGGTTAAGGGTTCTGTTTCGCGCGTTTGGGGATGTCTCCGGCCACTGCCAGGGCATGTCTGCAGCTGCCAACTACGCCTGGGTAAACCGTTCTTCGATGACGTTCCTGACGCGCCAGGCTTTCGCCAAGGCTCGCATAGAGACATGCGGTAAGACCCTTCAGCTCCGAGTGGATCGACCCTGGCCTAGGTCTTCAATCAGTCTCCTGAAGATCTGGATATGCACGTTATTTACGAGCCTTGATTCGCCTTATGCAAGGGACAGTCGTCACAGCGAAGGCTCTTTCTCCGAACAAGCATGGCTCAAGACCGCACCGAGGATGTCTCCCACAACATCGCCAAGGTGGAAGAACATTTCGTGACTTGGCCACAGTCCGAGGGCTGGCTAATTGGCAGCAGCTGTTTCGACAATTCATGTTGCTTCTTTAGGACCAGGTTCGTCCGAGCTCCGGAGATCTAAGATGGGCGTTCCTGCCACAGATAAAGAGCTTCTCCCATCCTTTCAGCTGCGTTTGAAGGATATGTTTCTCAGCTTTCAGGGCTCCAGGCTTGATGTTCTTGCAAGGTAGATGGCCAGTGCAAGCAGCTGCTGGTGCACAGAAAAGGCTCCACCCGAGCCTTTCCGCTTCCTCCTCAGTCTCCACGATACATGGATGACAAGTCCAGGAGCACTGCCCACCCAGGCCGCACCACCCGCTGATTCCTGTGGATTATCAGTTGACCGGCCAGCCCGTCATCGTCGGAGGCTGGACTCACCGCATGAAAATTGGACGACAACTGTCTGACCTGCCGAAAGCCGTGCTGCAGAGCTTCGCACCCTGTGGATCTCGAGAGGCACCATGGGCACCTGCTCGTACGTGCTGACTGGTACCGACAAAGGCGTCCATGATCCAACAGCCAGGGGATAAAAACGGAGTGCCGTGTCCGTGGCTTCAAAAAGCCAAGAGCTGCCTGATGTCGCAGAGGCATGAGAGAAACGTTTGGCAGCACCTGCCACGGAGCTGGGCGCGCTTTGAGCATCGGCCCAAGTCAGAAGTCCTGTGCTGGCATCTTTGCGAGCCCTATGCTGTCAGACATGTGCAGCGTGTTTATCGAGAGAGAGCGAGAGCTCAGGCAGGAACAAGTCGCGGAATAATCTGGACTATGGTGACGTCCTGAAGAGACTAGAGGAGATTGGGTTGATCATGACTAGTTTGGCTGTCCGAATCTCCTCTGCAGGACATGGGCATCTCGATTCGAGTCGCCTCGCCAAAGCTCATCATGGAAGAGGCTCCAGAGAGCCCCTTGACTTGGTCTGCTCTTTGCTGTCATTCTACAGCTTTGGATTTTGCGATTCGCAGCTTAGGCTACAAGGACGTGACGCAGGTGGTGCAGACTTGCCTCGGCCTCGAGGGTCTCGGGCGTTCAGCCGCGCCTGCTTCTGGCGCTCCCGCAGGCCACGATGCCGGCATCTCCAAGAAGGCTATCAAGCTCAAGCCGGTTGCTGTCGTTAAGGGTTGAAGCCAAAGCTCCCAGCCTGCACTGGAACTTTGCCTCCTGAAGTCCTTTCCTTCATTCTTCGGGTTTTCTGTCTGTGCAAGGTCAGCTGCAGAGAGCCTCATACCAGCGGCTCGTGCGCCGAAGCTTTAAAAAAAAACGATCGATCAATCAGGCAAGCAACGGGTGTCTGGTACACGAGGGACAGCTTGCAGATGAGACGTGCTGGCATCCGGCCGTCGTTCAGTTGCCTCACGCATCTCACGCAGCCGAAGCCAAGCAGCTAAGCCTCTTATTGCCTGCAGAGTTAGCGGAACGAACACTAGAAGTTCAGACGGCGCAGATGCAGAGATAATTAAAGATCAGCCGATCACTTGCAGCATCTGAAGCCGTACTTGTTGAGTCGAAACAAACAGCTCACCTGACCCTCAGAATCGTTAGTTCAATTGTCCCCGTGATGATCGGGAGAGTCCGACGCATGCAAGCACCCGTTTGAACGACGACGACTGTGCCGAACTTATTCTGTTCATGCCGTCTGGATAAATCTCGTATCCATGCGAAAGATTCGTGCGACCCGGTGCTGCTCAGGTGGAGCCATGTCTGTGACAGACCATGGCGACACGGAGTGCAACATCTGCTTCGAATCACTGGAGTCCAGGCCGATGGCACGCCAAAAACAACCACGTTTAATAACCGGTGGTGCAGCTCTGTTCAGAAGTCACAGCACCGCGTGCTGCCAGGGGTGGTGCGGCCAGGGGCTTGTTGGTAGACTGGCTGGTGCGAAGTGGCACCGGATCTTCATCTTGCCGCAGAGGTTGCCCTTCCGTGCAACTGCAAGATTGCCTACTGTGCACGATGCCGGGATCCTACCTACTGCCCCTCCTGTCAGCGGCTGCTATGTCCGACTTGCCGTTGAACTTCAAGAGGTTGGGACAGATCGCTGGCGGCAAGTATGTCGTCTTGCGGATGCTCGGCCTAAAGCGATGTCACGGGGCAATCGCAAGTATGGATGCATGTGTCCGTCATCCTGCCAAGAGTTGGTTGTGCAGCTTAGGCATGGCATTGTGCCCCTCCTGCCGATGTTGTATGCAGGCGCGCATGAAGCATGTCTACATGTCATCAAGTTCGCAACAGCTGGCGAGGTGGACTTCGACCCCAACAGCTGCCAACTAATGTTCCGACGATCTGCAGACAAAGGTTCCTTCGCAGGGACCACGTTTCTGGGGTAGATGTATGCTGTAAGGGTGACCGTGGACCCATGTGCAAGTGTCAGTTGTAGCATGATGACACGACGCATACTATCAAAGCTGCTTTCATGATATCCTGCAGGCTCTTCAAGCACTTCTGCAAGAATGAGGGAGCGCCGCCATTCGCAAAGTAGTGGTCACGGCTGAGGGTAGCAGTATGTATTGCGAAGCTGCGGATCAATATTCCCAGCATTCCCAGAACCAGGTCAAGCCTGACATTTTCTCAGTAAAATAAACGGTATTGAATCCAAGGCCCAAGAAGCCCCCAGGAAGCCTTTCTGCTTTTCTGCAGGATTTGCGGACCCATCTTTATGATCAGGCTCATGCACGCACTCTGCCACTGCAAGGGGTGATTCGAGTGAGAGCTCCCGGCTGCAGGCCAAGCCAGTGCAGATAAAGTTGCTGCGGGCGTATGGCGCCAAGGCATATAGGTTTTTTTCTTCATCTTGTCGTGTTTGCTCCGCGGTATTCTGTCTGACTCCAGGTGGGTCAGCCTGGTACGAGGACTTCCAAAGATATGGAGACTGAGGACTCAGCATACGGGCGTGCTTGACACGTGTGCGTCCTGTGAGGTCAGTGGCAGTATGTCGTAGTCGCATTCCACATCCTTGGCCAGCCCGCGATAGGGTCACGGCTAGGCACAGTTTCAGCCAAGGGTACAGGGCACCGTAGCGGTCAGCCGGGTGGTATTCGTCGTATATTGACGGTTGAGGCTTAATTGTCAATGAAACTGTCGTGCTTCTGCCGCTCTAGTTGTAAACCTGGCGAGACCAGAAGCGATTGCTGTGAGATGCCTTCCCAAGTGTAGCTGTGACTTCCCCCTGCGCAGCCCGCTGCTGTCTCGTTGGTGAACTCAGCATGCTTGGCTCACTGCTTTCGACATCGACTGCATGGCCATGATTGTGACTTTCTTAGCATCACTGCTGAGTTCCCAGGTTTCAGCAGTGCAAGGAGCTGCAATGGTCCCAAATGCAGCAGGGAAAATCGGGTCGGCGGAGGATGCTCAAATGTCTCATCCTCGATCCCATGACAAACTTAAGCATGTGAGAATTCCCAGCGACAGCGTTCCTTTCTGTTGGTTTCAGCTCCAAAACCGAGTGCAGACGCAGTTGCCCCAGCGCTTGTGGAGGACCATGCCCCTCGTTGTGTTTGCGGCAGCAAGCTCACCTGCACCAGCGTGCGGGACCGCGTTCGAAGTTTCGTGGAAGAGGACGGTCTGCACTGAGCTTCCAGAAGTCCTGAACACATCCCCTGCTGGCACTTTCAGGAGACACCGATTCCGGTGACAGACAGCGCCTCTTGGCTTTTGTGCATAGGACTCTGCTTCGGCTGATGCTGTCCCAGCCAAGGAGCTCGAGCATTTGCTCCGCAGCCCCCCGATTATGTGCGATATCTGCAACTCTCAGGCTCGGCACTGCCGCTACGTCGCTGCGTAGCTCTCTCGGCAGGTTGTTGTTTTGCGCAGCAAGCATCCGCGAGGTGGCTGCTTCGGCTGACGTCTGGACCTGCGAGAACGGGCGCAAGACGGTTCTGCACGCCGTCGCATACGATGTTTGTCAGGCCTGGCTTTCTTTCCTGTTGCCAAGTGTCCATGGGTTGAGGTTGCAGCTTCGCCAGGCCTGTTTCAACTACTATGCGTTTGGCACAGAGAGGCTGGACCTGCCGCAAGCAATCCACAGCATCACCTACAGGTATGCGCTGTTGCCCACTGCAGCAGAAAAAACCTTCCAGCAAACGATAAGTGCCATCTGCGCCATCGTACGGGAATTTGACAGCGATTTTGTTGTTTGCAGAGGGAAGTGCCCGTTTCAGCTTCCAAGACGTAAGAATCATGTGCGGCGCGCATGACCGTTTTGGCAAACATCTGGAGCGCTGGGCTCCTGCCTGATCAGGGAAGTTGCGAATGACGAGGAGGATGATGAGGAGGGCAGCGATTACATGGACTCCGATGACTCTGAATCCGAGTCAAGTGACGACGAAGAAGGCCGGCAAATGGATAGAAGGTAAGGGGGGTACAAAAGGAAGGGAGCAAAGCACGGTTCAGGGGTGTGAGTAAATGCCGTTGGAGACCTATAGGCATAACTCGGCAGGACGACTGGTTGCTTATTCTGCGTGCTGCCGCTCAGAATTCCAGATTAGACCAGTCGACCAACATCAGTAACTTACCAAACGATCAATCGCCCACATGGGAAGCTAATGGAAGCTGAGCTTGGAGCCGAGCTTGGTTAGGCGGTTAGACCATGTTAGGCTCGGACGACCCGGATGTGAAGTATAGAACATCGAAAGGACACTTAACTAATTCTGCATTGGAATCGTGGCGTGCTGGTGCTGGTGGCTCTAGTGGTGCTGGCGGTGCTGGTGCTTTCTTCGGCTGGTAGTGATTCGATGATCTTTTGCATCGCTTTCTGGATTTCTTGCTTATGGCTTTGACGAACGACCTCAGAGTAGCGGCCAGACCCAAGCGAGGCTTGCATGCCCTTGCCATGTAGATCTCGACTTCCCATGCACCCGAATGTCAATGAGTTGAAGTGCGGGTGTGGACCGATGCCCAAGCAGGTTGTGACGTCTCCGATGGACCAACCTCAAGTCCGAATGCTTGCTGATCACAGTCGTAGGTTTTTTCGCCGGCCTTTAGTATTCGAGGCCAATCGATCGGAGGACAGATCTTCTGCTGGTCCCCGTGTCGCATCTTCTTGTCTACTCGAAGCTAGCAGCTGATGCATCGCGTCGGTTGAAGCCCTGTTCTCCGTCCTCTCTCGGTCTTGCTATGTCTTGCTGGTGCGGGGCCGCCACACAAGGTGGTTTGGCCAAGTGGTCAGAAAGGTTCTGCAAGAGCCTGCGACGCAACAGCAGCGAGTGCAGGAGTCTCGGGCAAAAGGCTCTCGTGCTTGCCTGAAGCCAGGCTCCAATAATTGACCGAGACGGGTTTGGCGAGCTCCAATACTTCCCACCGTGCAAAGTGTGTCTTCAGAAGCGGCAGCAACTGCATACAACAAATAAGCATGCTTGCAAAGTAGGCCGTGATGAATTCCCTTCACCGCCAGCTGTTTCTATGTCTTGAATCTCAGGCGGTCCGCATTTTGCAGAGTTGTCCTTGGGGTGACTGTTTTGGCTTCACGTCCGTTGTTCGCACTTGAACAGGGCCCTTCTCCGCTGAGATGTACTCCTTACTGTCTAGATGCAGGCTGAAGATAGGCTGCCGGCCAGTCAGCACAGCGCAGTCACAGATAGTCAGAGTGCATGCTGCTGAGACGGCTCAATGACACCAGCATGGCTGCACACTGGTGCTCTTGTAGCCGCTCGAGCCTACTGCGCGGTCCCTCGCTTGGGAGGGCATGGACATCTAGCTGGGCTGGCCACCAACTTGATGCAAGTTTTAGCAACCTTGCAGCGTCCGGGCACCGTAATTTTGCGGTTCTGACTGCGCTCAGCCTCTGCAGTCAGCCGAAGCGAGTATGTCAAAGAGTTAGAAGGTTCGTGCGTCGGCGCGGCATTGAAGCGACTCCCTTGCGAAAAGGGGTCAGCAGCAAGACGATGGATCCTGCGGAACAGCTAGCCTTTGCCGCAAGAAAGGCCGAGCAGCTTGCAGCCACTCTGCGTCAAGGACGGCGTCCCAGGGAGGTCACCGTGGATCCCGAAGTTGCCGCCTGTGCCGCGGAAATTCGACAGAGCATTCTCTCGATGCAGCAGCCAGTGAGTGCTGCCGTGGCAGCAGATCTTGTTGTCGGCCTCTCTGCTTTTGCCAAGATGAGGATACTGCACACAGATATGTTGAACAGCTTAAGGGACTTACCGCGCAAGACTTGGATGGACTTGTCAATGCCGATCTTGGCAGAGGCCGTGACATCTTACGCCCAGTTTCAGCTAGAGGACTCCGAGTTCAACCAGTACTTGTCCGATCTCCTCGTCTCTCGCGGGGTGCAGAGGATAGGTGCAGCGAGGCTCGCAAATCTGACTTATGCTGCGGCAACTCTGAATTTGGGGGCTTTCGAGGGGGTGCATTCCTTGTTTTCGGAAGCCTTTGCTGGAGCAGAGGTTGGCAGGCTGGGAACCTTCGATCTCTCCAGGACTCTTTGGTCTCTTGCAAGGTTGGCACCCGATGTCTACGAGTCCGCCCCCCCTTGGGCCTCGAAGCTCTCGGAGGCTCTGCTGCGACAGAAGAAGCCTCCCTTTGGCTACAGCTTGGGGCAAGTGCTCTGGGCCCTGCCAAGGCTGGGGTTGATTAAGGACTCCGAGACCTTGTGGCAAAAAGTGAAAGGCAAGGCCGGGAGGGAGGCGTATGCGGAGAAGCTGCGACAGGCGGATACCTCCTGCCAAGCGGAGCTTCTACGTGGCCTTGCAGAAAACTGCGAAGCTGCTGGTCTGCAGGCTGCAGTGCTTAATGCAGCAATACTGCGTGCCATGGCCGCAGAGCAGAATTCTGCCGCGGAGCAGATCTTGCAGCTCATGGCTGACCGGGACCTTTGGACCCCTGTCACGTACCGCCTGGCTGCTAGACTCGGGAGCTCCATTAAGGGATCCCCAGCAGCACCAGGCTTAACCTCACCTGGCCAACGGGCCCACAAGTATGTCCGAGCCTTGTATCATGCCCTGGCGAAGGCCAGACCTGGCGATGCCGCCTCGGCGGCCGCTGCGCTCGAGAGCTTCTCGCGAAGCAGTAAGCGAGCCTGGCTGAAGTTCGGCGCTGCAGACGAGAAGGGCGAGGTGCTAGAAGAGGCTTGGAAAAGCCTGAGTCAAGGGAGGCCGCTCTTGGCTTTGGAGTTTGGGACCTTCCTTGGCTACTCAGCAACAAAGATGGTCCGGCAACTCGGCAGGGACTCTCGGGTAATCAGCTTTGAGATGGACCCAGAAGTAGCGTGCCTCGCCATGAACTTCGTGGAGCTGGCAGGGCTGAGTGACGTGATCGACGTTCGCATCGGTCAGTGTGAAGATCTCGTTCAGCAGCTGAAAGATGAGCTTCCACCTGGCTCTGTCGACGCTGTGTACATGGACCACAACCAGATGACATATCATCAAGACTTGTCCCAGCTGCAAGAGAGCGGCCTTCTCTCGAAGGAGGTTCTCTTTGCCGCCACGCAGGCGCTGAAGCCAGGTGCTCCCCTACTGCTCTGGAATTTGCATGAGGCACAAAAGGCTGGCATCTTTTCCGAGCTGGATATCGTGTCGTCACCCGATTGTGGATTCAAGGAGATGGAAGACTGGACGGTCCTCGCCAAAGCTACAACCACAAGGACCAGAAGCTTAAAGCGCCGTCAAGCAGTCAGAACTTCAAAAGCTCCCCGTGAGCTCACACTTCTTGCTGCAGAGTGCAACCTGATGCGCTGGCGCACGGCTCAAGGCATGGTCGATGAAGCACGGTGGAACGAGTTTGTTCAGTATGTGCGAGATGGCATGCAGAAGTTTGCAGGCATCACGAGCACACGAGATTACTGGCCAGACCGGCGGTGGCGAGATGCTGCCCGGAAACACACGTACGAACGGCTGGACTACTGATCGACGCTGAACGCTCAGGCCAAGATGTACGTCGTTTGCATCCTTGCTCTTTCCACGGGATCAAGGAAACACCTCGTGGTCTATCTGACATCTGGGCATCCTCACGAGCTCCCTGTCATTCTGCTTCGACCAACGGTCCTGGAGCATGACGAGATGCGTTGCTGCCGGCAGTTGAGGAACACCTACGACCTGAGGGCCGCAGAAGTCAAAGCTCACCGTCAAGTCTCTGACAAACGTGATGTGATGGCGGATGCTCAAATCGCGAAACAAGCTTTTCGTTGGTAAGTCCGAGTGAGCGAAGCCACATGCAGCATCAGCCTCACTATGCTGCAGCAGTCCGGCTCGAAGTGAAAATTGCAGGGCTCGGTGATTCCAGAGGCAGCCTTCGACTGCAGGAAGTCGCAGTCACATGTGCTTCCCTGAGAGGATGGTGCTTCTGGACGTAAAGAGATCGGAGAAGAAGAATGAGTTCATGTACGAGACAACAGTGAAGGCAGCCCGCTTATTGGGCGTGTTCTGCAACGCCTAGCCCTACCTACACTGAAAAAACCGTGAAGCCCACGAATGTGAGTTTGACCTCTTGCTGTGCTGACCGCGTTTGGCTTGCTCTTACAATGGTTACAGCATGTTACAGCCAATGGATACACTGTAAGAAGCCGTCAAACCTGCGAGCATGTCAGATGCACATCTAGCATTCTGACAGCCTTTTCACATGTGTCTACAATATATGGGAAAGCGGGGACGGTCCACACAAGGGACCTGGACCTGATTCCTGGCACCAGTTTCAGTTGAACTCGAGAAGCAATGCCGTGATAGAGCGGCTGAAGCTCAAGACCCGGCAGGCCAATGTTGGAGACCTCTTGAAAGAACTCTGCGAGCTTCACAACATGAGGTCCTGATCACGGTATGCAAGTCGAAGCTGATGCAAATCATGTCAATGCGAGCTTAGCACGTGAGAGGCTCAAAGTCCAGAGGCTCTCCCTTGCATGCAAGGCTGGAATTTCTTCGCAAGACATCGTGATGACATAGTGTGAGAGCTTTGGTGCTCTGGTGGTGCTCCGTCAGGAGCTGGCGAAGCACGGGCCCCTGAGACCGGAGGAAACTCGAGGAATCTCCGAGGCGGGCCGACTTTCGCCCTGCCGTCGCGGGCCGCATCATTTGCTCATGTGCCTCAGGACCTCAGCAAAGTCACTGAGCTAGACGTGAATGCGTATGGGCAGCCTACTAGTCGGAAGCCCACAGCATGTACGCTGTGTTGAAAGTAGCTTTACCGTAGCTGGAAGACGAGCGATCTAAGGACCGGATGAGTCTGGCTTTCGCACGGGAGTTCCTCCCCCGCCCGAGGCTGCTTATTCCGGATGTACGGGGTCGTAGAATTGTGCAACGGTGCATGGGAGTAGTTTGAGTAGCCTTTGGAGTGCATGCAACATCCGTGAACCACAGGTGGCCGACGTGCTGACCCGCACAGCAGAGGAAGCCGCGGCAGGACTCCCAGATAGCGAACCAAAAGGAAAGGAACCACCAAGAAAGCGGGCAGATCTGTTCGTGATTCGTAGAACTCTGCCTGCAGAGCCTGGCCAGATCATGCTAGCTGTACGAGGCTGCGGTGGCCTCCGAGCTGGTGCAGCAGCGAAAGTGTGTTGATAAGAAGGCAAAGCTGCAAACACTCATGCTGAAGATGCTACTGTGATGCGATGCTGTCTGGGCAGACTGGCAGGTGTGCCAGACGCAGATTGACAACATGCGCGGTGCCGTCATGTGCCGTGAAAGCATTTTAGCCATCAACTCCTGTAGTTCCATGCTCTTGGTTGAACGAAGCTGCTGCGCAAGCACACTTACGACGCACGACACCCAGGATTGCGTATCCTGCTTTCCATCGCTTGCCTATTTATGTTGGTGGCCCAGGTAGCTGCAGTGAATCCAATGCATGTCGCATGTCGCTTCTGGGGGGCCAGTCATTCAGAGTTTTTCAGCAATGGCTCAAGCTGCAGTAGCTGTTTGACGTCAACGTGCAAAAGGATGGCGGGTGATGACTTGCTAGGCAGCCCTTTCGATGCGGCAGAGGCTGGAGACAGGCATCAGTTGGAACCCGTCGCCCCGAGTGGCACGGCGAATGGTAGATCGAATGACCTCGTGCAGCAGATGTCAGTGCAGGACTTCTCCGGGTGTTGCTCTACGCTTATGCAGGACATGAAACTTACAGAGCAGAAGGATCTGTTGCCGCTGCTCGTTGGCGTTCTGCAGCACGTTGGAAACGCAGAGTTTGCTCACGGCCATGCACCAAAGAAGCGCAGCGGGGCGTTCAGCAAGTCCGTGAAAGTTGCCTTGGATGAGGAAGAAAAGGTGGAGGAGTGCGAGTCCTTTAGAAGGCTACGCCGTGCGGCGCTCACTTCCGATGCGAGGTATCTGTTCCAGCAGGAGCTGAGCAGCAAGGACTGCGACCTGCACCAAGTCGATGAGGTACTGATGCAGGAGTTGGAGCCAACTCTGCTGAGATTCGGATTCCCGGTCAGCCAGGCTGGGGTTCATGATGCCCTGCAAGTTCTGAGTGAGCAGCGCGTGGTCAAGACGTGTGAAGCTGATGACGAGCCCTGCGGCTTCTGACATCAAGGCCTGCGCCGTTCACGGCTCAAGCTCTGTACAAAGTTACATCGAACTCCCTTGGAGTGGAGATGCCAAGTCAAAAAAGTCCGGGCTGTTACTGTCATGTTGCAGCGACGGTAGAGCTGTTGCAGACATCGTCTCAGCAAGTCTCAGCTGAGGATCCTGTACGCCAAGAGCTCGAGGACCGGGAGGAGCTTGACGGAGCGTCGGAGTTGCAGTGCGTGCCGGCAGCCGAGCTCTGTCTCCGGAAGCTTTGTGATGAAAGCCAGAGATTGAGTTCTGCTTTAGTCTATTGCTGCCAAGTGTTCCTTGTCCCAGAAGTCATGCCTCCCTCCCGACAAGTTTACGTGCCAGTTCCCCGTTACGACTTGAAGGAAGATCTTGCAGACACTTTCAGTGTTCTTCGATTGCCAGGCTCGAGCCTGCCCAGACTAACATGTGGTGGGCTGGAAAGGAGCTCAGGACCTTGCCTCAGAGCGTCAGGAGGCAAATCTCATGACTCCGCGCAAAGCCTTTCAGGATGGACCAGACGCTGGAGCAGTATGTTGGCAAGAATGCCGGCAGCCTAGTGACTCATGGAACGGAGAGTGCCCTCGATCATTCGCGCAGGAAAAGACGAAGATCGTCGCAAAGCTTGCTCCGAAAGCCTCTGGAGCTCCCGTGCGGGAGCCGCGCATAGACGAGAACACGCACAAGGCGAAGTCGGGAGCAACAGATTGGAGCACAACTGCTGCGGATGGCACAGATCTCATGTAAAGGCGATGATGGCCCATTACTACCGAAAGCAGGAGGAGACCAAGAAGCTCCAGGAGCCAGATGGGGGGGGCAGACTGACCTTTCATGAACTCGCCCCGCGAATCCAAGGACGACGAGGACGACTCTTACCTGGATTCGGAGTGGGCCAACCCGAAGGCCAGATCGACAGTGGTCTGAGAGGAAACCTCTGACCGCTGTAAGCAGTGGGTAGCAGTGTTTGCAGCGTCTGGGAAGACTTCATGTGACTTGGGCCCACGACTTACGATGATCAGGCTCTGAAGAGTGCCTTGGTTGGCGGTGGAAGGCTGGAAGACAGGAGAGTTGATGAAGATTAGACTAGCCCTGTGGTGTAGCAAGGCCCATCTCCTGGAAAACAAGATGACGAGACTGATGAGGATAACGTAGCACAGCCTAGCAGCTCAGTGCTTGAATTCAGTGGAGAAGCGAGCCCCCCTTCCGCTTTCTTGATACCGTGATCTTGCGTTGTTATGCTTGGTTAGTCTTGCATGCCGGGGGTTTCAGCTCCTTTGTTTGCATGCCAGTGCTATCAGTGCTGTGGCCTCCTTGTACAGCTTGTGGTCAGCTAGCAGTGGTCCTCGGGCCAGAGATTTCGACACGGTTTCACCTTGCACATACCACAAAGCCTATGTGCTCCTCAAAAACTGCTTGCTGAGCTCAGAGAGAATCGGCATTTCCTAAACATCAGGGCATCACCTCTGTTGCGACTCCAGTCAGGCTTGTGCGCTCTTGCCGCAGCCAGGCCGCATTCGAGTAGGACAAGGAGAAGATGCGAGTCGGCCCCGGCCTACATGAAAGCACGTCCGCCAGCACCATGCCAGTTCAAAGGCTCAACAAAGCACCAGACATAACAACAAACAAGCAGCCAGGGCTCAACGTCGACACAAGCTGTCCAGCATAGCCTTCCGCCAGGCGGTTTCGTACTAGAAGTTCATAAACAGCAAAGCAAGCGCAGAACTGCACGGTGCTCGAGGGACCAAGTATGGATCCGGCGCTGGATTCAATGCAGGCTGCCCACGTCCCATGAGGCGAATCGAATTCGGACGGCATCTGCTGATGGTAGGAGTCACAACAGCTTCCTGCAGCGCAGAAGCCCCAAGCTGAGTGGGCACACAAGCTCCTTGTGCACAAGTTTTCGAGAAGTGTTGGCAGGAAAGCATTGAAATGCACCCAGGCTCGGCCAAACGTCGCAGCCGGCGCAGACGTCGGGGAGATCAATGACAGAGAAGGAGTGAGCATCCTTGCGGTAAGATTGGGTATCGGATCTTGATCCCATGCACAGAAGAGCTGCAGAGGACCAAGCTCCAACCACGTTTCCTCTGTTGAAGGCCCTGCAGACATGACAGAACCGAGCACCCTGTGCTTGCGTCACCCTTTGGTGGGTCTTTGGTGCATTTTGGAGGTATCACCTCCGATTCCTGTTGGCCGTCTGGCCGGACGATTTAAGGTGCAGCTTTGGCGGGCCAGCCCCGATCACAAGCTGAACCTCATTGTTGGGCCAAGCTCCCAAAGTCGGAAGCCCGGAATCAAGCTTTCTCTGCAGTGTCCTGGCACGTCAGAGGGCTTTCGGGCGACTTCATTGAGGCGATGTGGTCGTAATGGTGGATGCGAGTCATTTGGGCATCTACCAAGGAGATGAGGCCGGCGGCGCGTCAAGTTCGTTAAAAGGCGAGCCACTAGTCGCGAATGCAATCGATGCGTTCTCAGGTGCTCAGCATCAACGGTGTGTCTGTGCAAAGCTTTCGCCATTTTGCTGAACTTCTTGAATCATGTGGACAGAATATAGAGATTCAGTTCTATCACAAGGCGGGGAGATGCATCGAACGAGTTGTTGAAGCTGTGTGGGCAAAGCAGGAGCCGCCGATAGCCACGCTCGTGCACGAGGAGACGCATTGGTTTGTCAATCAGTGAGACTAGTGGTGGTTCAAGGTCTGAAGGCCAGGGAGTGGATGCAAAGAGACAGGTCTTACTCGTTTGAGCCTACCCTGGGGGGGCGGCTTGGGGATGCATGGGGGAAGGTTGCTTTCTTGTCATGTTGAGCTTTCTACCCGGCGCAAACTGCGTGTGACAGCATTGTATGTTTCATCGCGCCAGCAACACCATGCACTAACTTGGATGCAAGTTGAGGCACGTGCAAGCCCCCATTTGTGCCCCATTCATGCTCTTTGGTTTACGGACAGCGGTTCAAGTTACTTCGACATGCAGCTGTTCAAGAGGGTGTGTCGTGTGGGTAGGTCGGCGGCCGGGAGGGTGGCTGGGTGAGTGTGTCGGCAGGGATCCTATGGCGGACCTTGGTGTGTGGTCCCGAATAAGACATCGACAGGATGACCTGATCGAGATGTGCTGCGGTCCAACTCTTTGTGTGCCGCAGACCATGCCAGTGCTACGGGCCTACGCGAAAGCTTGCAGTGTTGAAGTTTTGAATCTGGCGCGTCTACCGTTTTGCATGGCCGCCTGTAGCCAAGGTGGTGCGATTACTTCTACAACCCTCCAGAACCGAGGCCGTGGAATTGCAGTGTTTTGTTTGCACGGCAACATGTGCATCAACTGCGCGACAACAGTCGCTTCCTTTCCCCCTTCTCAATAGCGCGATAAAGCCTGCAGAGCATCATCCTGTGTGAGTTTAATACTTTCATGACCCGAGAGGTGCCGTGCCGAGTCCTGGACACAGCGGGAGGTTTTGAGTGCCTCCGTAGCAGAGACGAGCTCGGAAGGTGCCCTGCCACTGTATAGATGCTGCTTACCAGAATCCTCGTTAGGAAGTCATAACCTGCGCAGCCGCGCAGAACTGCTAGGCTGCTTTGAACGACTGCACGATGATGATGAATGTGCTGCGCACGAGTCGCATGAATGCGTCAGCTATGCCTGTCAGGTTCTACGTTTCAACTTGAGATGCGCCGTACATCGATGAAGCGCCATGGCTTGCAAGTAGACTGCGGCAAGTTCGGCACTTCCCAGAGCTGTTGCGGGTTCCGATTGAGGCAGCCCTTCGGGCTTCCACTTGGAGTGCTCAGCCTGCCAGCTGAGCCCTCCGAGCCCTCCAACGTGGCCTCGGAGGTCCGACATGGGTTTGTCGTCTTGGCAATGGGGTTTGGGGATTGAGTTCATATATGATCATATATGATATATGCATATATGTGACTGTGTGCCTATCAGTGCAGATATCTAAAGATGAAGACATGCATGTATGCTGCTTGAGAGCTTAAGGGACACAGGATGACACAGGTTTCTGGGAGTGGTTTGCTGGATGTGAGCGGATTTAGGTCCGTCCGTCCGTATGTATGTATGTATGTATGTATGCATTTACGTACGTATGTACGTATGTATGTATGCATGTATGGGTTGCAGCAGATCCGGATGAGTATGAGCCATTCGTCACATCACTTATCACTCATACAGGCCCATGGCTTCATACGGACATGTCAACGCTACCGGGCATATCAGACACTATATACTGTGGCATTAAAAAGTGATGCTACAGCAGATTTGAGATATTTTTTTTGCATGACGAGATAGTCTAATAGTTGACCTACGGCTAATTTCCCATCAAGGAACTGTTCAAGCCATCTCTATTACTTCCTAGATTGCTTACCACAGAGACGTAGATTAGCGGCTCTGCCTGGAAACTGCTTCTGAGTTTCTCAGTCGGCAAGGAGTCATTGTCGTCGCAAACATGCTTACAGGGCTCAGAGGCACTTTCGTGTAATCAGCTGCCGGAGCGAGGCGACCGATAGCAATGCATCGAATGAATTCGCGCGATGAGACACATTGGCTGGACGTTGGTGTCCCTTGTGGTTTCTTTTTTGTTGTGGATTGTTGTTTCTTGGAGCTCCGAAGATCCTTCGTTGTTGCTGTTGCTCTTGCTGCTGTTGCTCTTGCTGCTGCTGATGTTGCTGCTGCTGTTGTTGCTGGTGTTGCTGCTGTTGTTGTTGTTGTTGTTGTTGTTGTTGTTGTTGTTGTTGTTGTTTTTGGTGTTGTTGGTGTTGTTGGTGTTGTTGGTGTTGTTGGTCTTGTTGGTGTTGTTGGTGTTGTTGTTGTTGTTGTTGTTGTTGTTCTTGTTGTTGTGTTTCTTGTTCTTGTTGTTGTTGTTGTTGTTGTTGTTGTTGGTGGTGGTGTTGTTGTTGTTGCTGTTGCTGTT